CAAAATTAAATTTCTTTTTTGATTTTCAGTATCCACCAGCCAAATATATTGCTGTTAGATTCGTTTATTGAATGCTAGACACGCAAGTCAAGAAAAATGAAAATTTTAACAAAACTAAAATATTTGTTAAATATATTTTATTTTCTGAAACGGTACTTATTAAAATTTGAAATGTCTCATTTCTATCTCTACATTTGTCACATAAAAGGAAGCAGTATTTTATTATTTATTTAATATTACATTTCTTAAAATGATTCAATAAGTCATATACCTTAAACATCAAACTTTTTTGAAACGTTTTCAGAAAAATAATCATTTAAAGATAATTTTTGCATAGATTAATCCTTGGGTAAACTAATTTTATAACTGTGTATAAAATGTGTTTCGACGAGCTTGAAAATTCATCGAGATATTGCGAAACATGCAAAAAGTAAAATTAAAATTAAGAGAACTAAACTTTTGATCGCTCTCCTGACCATGCTATGGGTATCGGAGAGAATTCGAATTTGACGGAAAAGAAACTTAATAAAAAAAAATTCGCGGTTATATGACTTATTTTGTTTCTTTAAATATTGTCTGCTGCACTAACTAATCAGTGCAATTAATTATTGCAAATTTAAGTTTAGGCCTTTGAATAATTAACATGGGTTCTGAAGTCTAATTCCGATCATTAGTTCATATGTTAGTCAGGGTTTTTAATTTTTTGCAACAAAAACAAAATACAAACAAGGTAAATGTAAAACTAAACGCGTTATGCGTTAAATGCTAATTATGAGCCTGTTATAAATCATTTATTACAAAATATGTTTTTTTTTAAATAGTATGTATTTCCAGTTTTTCCACGGCAGACTAAAATAGCAAAATAAGGTAATGGTAAAAATTTAGAATTTTAATAAAATAAATAAAAATTTGCAAATTTTCTAGCATATTTTTTTTAGATTACCAGAAATGCCGACTTGTTCGGCTTTGTAAAAAAATACTTTCTAGTAATATCAAAATTAAAGTGATTTATATTTAAGTTTTTTTCCTTTTTTGTAATTTGACGTATTGAAATATCAAGTGTCATAAGAAATGCAACATTATTACTGTTGTCTCATGGTGACTATTTTAAAGAGTGGGCGTAATTTTCCTAATTCAACATGGTTTAATACTTGAATTCGCTACCAATTTATTAGAGTTTTGCTGAAAGAGGAGTAGATTTTATTTCTAGTTTACTATTGAAAGTGAATTCGGTCGATAATTTTCCTTAAATTTTGAACAAGAACAATTTGAAATGTATCTCATAGTGTTTTTAAAACAATAATAAATAAACAAAATTTCTGCCACATTTTACTTTTTAGTTGCCTGTGACGTCGCTGCATATCTTTTGTAAGGAACACGACTTCTGCCTGATAAATGGTATCTATGAATTAATAATATTTGTTTGTTATGGAAAAAAGTAATATCGCTTATTTTTTCCATTACAGACCAACATATCTTATCGCGAACGTACACGTATTATCTCCTTCTTCCTGCCACTTTCTACGTAGTAGATAAGTGGGAACTTTTAACAGGCACACAAATTAAATTTTAAAAAATTCTGAATTGAAATATATTATTAAATTGCATAAAAACTGCATCTTTTAGAGGGAATTCGATTGCGAATTTGAAATCAGTGACGAAAAAATATCCAAATTTTCGGTCAAAAACCATTAGAAAATAAAAAACATTGTAGTTCATTATAGCATGAATAAATGCACCTTTTGTATATCTGAAAATGATACGCGTTTTATCGCGAACAGTACTTTTAAGCAGACCTAATTATCTATACTTTTGTTTATAATTGAACCACATTTTTATTGTTGAGAAACCTGTACAAGAGCGATATGAAAACAAGAAATTTTCAGACTTAAAAGAAGAATACTTATGAATCAATCTTCTGAACTCCCAAAAATTCCTTTTTATTAGTAATTACTATCACAACTTTAAAAAAATATACTGTCTCTAATTATTTCAATAAGATGGACTATATTCAGAAATATTTTCCTTTTTTTATTTTCAGTATCAAACAGTCAAATGTATTTCTGTCAGATACCTTTATAAAATGCTTTTAGCAAAACTATCGGGGTAGAGATCTTACTTGACTTGACATGTTTTTAAACTCCTTCATATGAGACTGGTATAATGAGACTAAATGGCTTTGGTTTGGAATAGATTCGAGTGTTGACTGAGATGCCTCTATGAAAATTATAGTCATATCTGAGTAAAATAAGAGGTCTGAAGAAATTAAAACTAATGTAAAATGTATTTTCTTTTCTGAAACGGTAGTTTTTAAGATTTGAACTACATCATTTCTATCTCATCATTTGTCATGTAAAAGGAAGAAGTATTTTTTTATTTATTTAAAATTACATTTCTTAAAATTATTTAATGATTCATATACCTTAAAATTCAAAATCTTTTGAAACGTTTTCACAAAAATAATAATAAGTTATAAATAATTATTTAAAGCTACTTTTTGCGTAGAATAATCTTTGGGTAAATTAAATTTATAACTGTGTATGAAATGTTTCAAAGAGCTCGAAAATTCATCGTTATATTGCGAATTACGAAAAAAGTTAAATTAAAATTAAGAGAACTAAACTTTTGATTGCTCTCCTGAACATACAATGGGAATTGGTCAGAATTCGAATTTGACGGAAAAGAAATTTAATAAAAAAATGAATTAAATTAAAGTTTAAAAAATTATGGATTGAAATATACAATTAAATTGCATTAAAACTGTATCTTGTAGAGTGAAATCGATTGCGAATTTGAATTCAGCGACGAAAAAATATCCAAATTTTCGGTCAAAAACCTAATGCATTAGAATATAAACAAGAATTGTAATTCATTATAGCGTGAATAAATGCACCTTTTGCATATCTGAAAAAGATACGTGTCTTTTCGCGAACTGAACTTTCAGGCAAACCTAATTATCTACATTTGTGTTTATAATTAAACCCACATTTCAGTTGCTGAGAAGCCTGTTCAAGAGCAATACGAAAACAGAAGAAATATTCAGACTTAAAAAAAGAATACTTATCAACCAATCTTCTGTACTCAAAAAAAGTTCTATTTATTATCAATTACTATCACAATTTTAAACAAAATTTAAAAATAAAAAGAAAAATAATAAACTTTTCCTAAAAATTTAAATGATATAAACAGCATTCAGAAATATTTTCCTTTTTTTTTTGAACATTCAGTATCCACCAGCCAAATGTATTGCTGACAGATACATTTATTAAATGAGAACTTACATGAATAAACGACGAAACTTTAAACAAAATTGAAAGTTATATTAACTGTATCTTATTTTCTGAAACGGTAGTTTATAAAATTTGAACTACCTCATTTCTATGTGAGCATTTGTCACGTGGAAGGAAGCAGAATTTTTTTATTTATTTAATATTAAGTTTCTTAACCGGTTAACGCACAGCGTCATATATATATATAGGACAGTTCCTTTTTTCAAACACATTCATTGTGGTGGGAAACTTTTTTCAGAATTGTCATTTATCTGGGTGAATTAAAAAATTTTCAAATACCACAATGATTTAGTTTTTTTGACTAGATTTAGAATTAAAAGGAGCAAGTACTTTTTGATGTATCAAAGACTTTTTGAATGCCCTAACAGTAGAAAAACCAATTAATTTCGATAATATATTCTACCACCTTTTCCATAAAACCACTTCTTGTATCATTTCAATATATGAAGTCGGGACAAAACGGGTTAAAATGATTTAATAATTCATATACCTTAAAATTCAAAATTTTTTTAAACGCTTTAAAGAAATTAATTATAAATAACTATTTAAAGATAATTTTTGCATAGAATAATCTTTGAGTAATCGAATTTTATAACTGTGTATAAAATGTTTCAAAGAGCTAGAAAATTCGTCGATATATTGCGAATTGCGTAAAAAGTAAAAGTAAAATTAAGAGAACTAAACTAAGAACTGACCATACAATGGGAATTGGTCAGACTTCATATTTGACGGAAAAGAAACTTAATAAAAAAATGCGCTGTTACATGACTTATTATGTTTCTTAAAATATTGTCTGCTGCACTAATTAATGAGTGCAATTGATTAATGCAAATTTAAGTTTTAGGTGATCCAGATTTGAATCTCAGCTGTTCTATATGAATTTCAAACCGATCAAATTGCTACCTTAAAATATTCTCAGTGGGAGACGGATCATGGGTTAGATTTCCCTTGCCGTTAGGCTAACCGTGGGAGGTTTCCACAAATGCGGATTAGTCTCATCAAGAAGTCCTTCAGGAAGGCAATTTTCTCCTAATACTTAATCTAGGAGTTTCCATGTCTTTTGGACTGTGTTCAAAATTACAAGGCTACCTAGTTGAATAATGGTGGTCGTAAACTCAAAAATTAAATCGGCTGTTTATTGACCGTTATAATCTGAAATAAAATCCCTGTATATTTGATAATCTCTTGTGTTTTCCATCTTTTAAATTTGAAAATATCGCAGGACTTAATCTCAGATCAAAATTTAGGTATTTATGTTAGTGATATATTGAACACAAATGTTTTTAACGCAAATTCGAGAGGAATTCGAATTTGCCTGTCTATTCGAATTATTTCCAGTCTTTGTTTTTTGAAAAACAATTCCGTTTGAACTTTATCCCCTAATTGATAAATTATTGAAAGTAAGTATAAAATATGATTATAATAGTTATGAGCATTTTTAATTTGATTTATATTTGCAGCATAAAAATCCTCATGAATATAAAGTATTCACAATAAAATAAAGCTTATCGGAAAACAATTTATTTTTAACGTTCCATTTTTAATGTTTTCCCAGTATCATAAAATTATTCTATATCAGAATAAGTCATTTAATAAATAGAGGTAAACTAATATATTAAATATTTATTTTATTAATACGCCTAAATAAATATTTTTGAAGCATAGGCAAATGTAAAATATTCAATACGTGGTTTGCTTTAAAAGTTTTATTGTTTCAGAACAAAGATTGTATGGATATATAAATGAACAATTCTATCTTATAATCAGTCATTCTTGCATTTTTCTTCCCTGATTGAGAAGCTACTAACTGTAAGTTGCCTGTTTCAAGTTTTTTTCAGTTTGCATTTTTATCATTGATACAGTTCAAACTCAAACTCTATGAAATTTTCTAGTTGTAGAGACCTGTAAGCGCACCAAAGAATATGTCCACAGTAGGAATTGACTCGCTAAATCAGAAATCTTTGAAAAATACTTTAAGCTTATTGATTATTGGTAACCGTGATTGCAACGGTAAATAATTTGCGTTATGAATTTATATGTAACAAAATCTATAGAGTTTATCTTCAATATAGTTTCCTTTTGAAGGAATTTCTTCCTATAATGAAATTTCTAATCAGAATGTTAAGAGAAAACATTCCAATTACTCTCCATGCAACGAATTGTTTGTCTGTTATAACGAATGTAAATTTGATTTAAAGATGTAAATGTTTCAAAAATTTCTATGAAACGCCACTTTATTACGGCTCTCTCTTGATGAAGCTTTTAACAAGAAAAAAATCTGAAATCTTTAGTTTTTATTTTTCTCAAAATATGTTTTACAAAGCTAAGCAGCTGTCAGCCATGACCTAAAAATATGCTTAAATAAAATAGCTGCTTGGTTCGAATTCCAAACCCGGCTCGCGCCGAACACACTACTAACGTAAAATACCCACAGAGGTAGACGGATCATGGGTTAAAGTCCCTTGCCGTCAGACTAACTGTATGAGGTTTTCGTGGTTTTCCTCTCCAGGTAACGCAAAAGCGGGTTAGTTTCATCAAACAGTCCTCCACGAAAGCAAATTTTTACCGATACTTGATCCAGGAGCTCCCTTGTCTTCTGGTTTAAGTTTAAAATTACAAGGATGTGGAGTTGAACATTGGTAGTAGTAAAGTAAGAATTTGGTTGACTGTTCAGCGATGGTTATAAAATAAAGTATAAATATGTCTTGGTGTGCAGAATATTTTTGTTCTTTTTAAAGATAGTACACGAAAAGATTCGTGAGTTTTGAGGGCTTGTGAGTTAAACATAGCTGGACATGTTGTGCCAGATAACAGTTCGAGCTAACTAGCATGCTTTTCTTTCTTTAAAAAAATGTTTCTAGGTTGACGATTATTGAAAAATTATATTTTCTGCATGCAAAAAGTCAATTTTTGAAGCAGAAATCTCACTTCAACGAACTTTTTGGTTATTCGTAACAATCGAAGGTTAGTGTTATTACAATACTCGATAAGGTTAAACTCGGAAAAGCATTCCCTAATCTATTAAGCTATCGTAAAGAAAAATTTACAAAATTGAAATGAAAAAATTAACATTTGCTGCAACTGATTTTAAAAAAAAAGAATATTTTATACAGTATTTTTGTTTGGCTTATAAAATGTGTTTTGAAATTTATTTTGAAGTAAATTTTTTTGTATTTAAATTTTTTTGTATGGCATGAACATGAAATTACCTCCTCAAACAAAAATAAAAAAGCAAGCCATTTCCAACGCAAAACCTGAAATTCGTTTTTCACCTCGACTGATATCTCTTGAACAAGGCATACATCTTTCATTTTGGGACACAGTTGAAATGATATGCGAGTTGAAATGATATGGTGAAATGCTTGCTTACATCACAGAAACTACCGAGTGTCTTTCAATATATTCGTGCATATTACTTTTGTTTTCAGCTGTACTAGAATTACAAAAAGTAATTTAAATTGCAAGTCTGTCTATACTGTTGCATGTCATTGAATATTTTTTAAGCTTATTGCTTTGTTATCAGTTATACTTGCATTACAAAAAGTATTAAAAAATACATATCTCTGCCACATGCCTTTGAATAAACTTTGAGTTTTTTTTATCTTGCTTTAAGCTGAAAATGCAATACAAAAGGTATTTTAAATTGCAAGAATGATTTTACTACTGTGTGTGTTTGAGTATATTTTATCTGCGTTGCATTACAAAAATTATTTAAAATTATATCAGATTGCATGGCTTTGAATAAACTTCATATTCTCTTACTATCTAACTATCAGCTAAACATAATCAACTCAAGAAATATTTTAAATTTCAAGTATATTTTTATTATTCCGCATTTTGGGATATATTTTATTTGTGTTTCTGTAATGCAAGTACAACTAATGAAATAAAGTATTTAAGAAAAACGCGTCAGTGATTTGAATAAATTTTATTTGCGCGTTTGAATTCAGCTGTACTTACAAAAAGTAATTAAAGCTCACAAAAAGTAATTTAAATTACAAGCCTGTCTTTACTGTTGAATATCTTTGAAAAAATTTTGCTTGTGCTTATTACCTTACTATCAGTTGTACTTGCATTATATTTAAAACTGCATAACACTGTTGCATATATATGAAAAAATTTTATTAGAGCGTATTACTTTACCATCAGCTGAACTTGCACTATAAAAAGCATTTGAATCACAAGCATGTCTTTGCTACGTGTTTTTGAAATTTTTTAACTTGTGCTTATTACCTTGTGCTGTTAGATGTAATTGCATAATAAAAACCATCTTAAATTATAACAACTCATGATTGTATGTTTTGTTTTTAATAGGAAAGCAACAATGAAAGCATTCTACGTTTTGCTTGTTCTCAGCTTGATTGCTGCTGCCATGTCAGCAACTCCATCAGCTTGCAGACTCCAAAGAAAGATGGTCAAAGACGCTGGTAAAACTACTTTATTAACACCCGAATTTATATTTTTCTATATCTTACTATATATAAATATATTATGATGAAGTCGCAGTTTTCCGTTATCGTCGGTGAACTTTCATTTGCCGTAAAATCTCATGGCATGATCCGCCCCGCAGTGGACTGATCGTTAAGACACGCTTCCCAGCAGATCACCGAAGTCAAGCATCACTGGCTGCGGACAGTGTGCGGGTGGATGACCACTTGGATCAGTCTGCGTAGGGACCGAGAGTGTGCGGTAAGGGTCCTCGTTAAACTGTTCTACCGTAAAGTGCTCGCGGGCATTTCGTCGGGCTACCGAAGCGTTAGTGCCATCCCCTCTGCAGAGGATCAAATTGTGGTGGCATATTTTCGGGTCATCCTCAGGGATGTTTCCCAGACCGTTGCCAATAGTCCATTGGGCAGCTCAAGTGCGACGTAAATGAACAACAACAACATGGCAGGATCCAGTTTTTCCACATTAATTTTTCCATTCATTTGGTTGTCATCAGCATAAAATTGATATAAGCCGCAAGTTACTGTTTTCCTATAAATATTTTTGTATCCCTAATTTAAAGATACTTACCTGTATTGTTATTACTAGAGATGCCAACTTGCTCCGGACAGCAAATATATATTTTAAAGTGGTAGCTTACCAATTGTGATTCTTGATTTAATATATTAAATTTAGTGGATTTTTATCCACCACTATTTTTAAATAATTTGTAGGATTATATAATTCGCAACTTAATGGTAAAACTCGCGATTTATGTTAAGCTATGCCTATTAAAAAGCAAGCAAAAATTGTCAAATATTTGCAAAATTTACTTTGTAGTGTCCGGAACAGTTGGTATCTACGTAACTACGTTTTTGATTTTGTTTGTTTTCTAAATTAAGAGTCCAGGAGGATTTTTTTTATTGTAATTTTTCTTAGAATAACGAAACTTAAGTCAAGTGTTTTTTTAGTACATATAATTTTAATTTAATAATTTCAATTGTTTTATGCTATGCACTAGTAATAATTACTGCGGAGCAATCATCGGTGTTGGTGAGCGCTAGTGAACATGGGACTTAGCCCCCTAGTTACGAAAAAGGGATCATTTTTTTATTCATCTACTACCGTCGTGGTTTAAGGTAAAGAAATAAGCATGGTGCTTGATTTATAAAAAAAAAATTTATTATATTTTAAATGAATTTCTAATGCAAACAAGGTAAATTTTTGGGTTTTTATATGGAATTTTTTCACGATTTTTTAATTCGTTTTATCCTGACTTTATACATTGAAGTGGTTCAAAAAGTGGCTTTATTCAAAGAGTTTTAAAATATATTATGTCAATTCATTGGCTTTTCCTATTTTTAGCCACCATTTAATTCAAAAAGGGCTTGTTAAAAAAAATTAGTTACCGGAAGTCCTCGCTCCTTATAGTTCTAGTCACGTTTAACTAGTTCAAGTCACATTTAACTAAATCATTCATAAATTATGGTAGTTGAGAATCTCTTAAGTCACCCAAATAAATGATAATACTGAAAAAAATCTCCTACCACTATGAATGCTTTTTGAAATAAGTAACTCTCCTAAAAATACGGCCCAGGACGTTAACCGGTTAAATAGATATAAAAGTTTAAACTTTAACCGATTTTGTGCAAGCTCGGAAAAAGTTGAAAAGTTATAATAATAGTACGATAAAAAAATTTATTTTATTAATGTTTGTAACTTTGTTGTTTAATTAATCAAAGTAAATATCGAATACCAAAGTAACCAAATTTCACTTTTTAATTTTAAAAAACATTTTTAGAATAATAAAAGTAAAGAATAATAAGAATTTTTGTAACGTGCGTGATAGTACTTTTTACATTTTTACGAAGCCTTTTTAATTGTAAATGATTCTCTCCGATACAAAGTTTAGTGGGTGGCTACTAAAAACTTTTTGAAAGTGATGAGAAGGTTTAATGAAATAAATAATTTCCACCTATCTAAGATATCATAAGAACATGTTCAAATGTTTAACTTACTAAACCTCGAGTGAAACTAAAACTTCTTAATTACTTTTATTTGCCTTTTCTTAAGAATGTTTTTGGATCAGAATTCGCAACTTAAAATATCGCCTGCAGAGATGCCAACTGCTCCGGACACGCCAAAATAATTAAAAAAACGGTAAATAACTACGAAGTAAATTTAGCAACGATTTGGCTACTTATGCTTGCTTTTTAACAAGCATAGCATGACATAAGTATTATAAAGTGGTGAATTATATAAGCCTACAAATTATTTAGAAATAGTGGTGAATAAAAATATACTAAATTGAATTTATTAAACCAAGAATCACAATTGATAAACTACCACTTTAAAATATGTATTTGCTGTCCGGAGCAAGTTGGCATCTCTGCGCCTGCGCAAAGTAATTTGTAATTTGAGGGCACCCATTCGAATCATAAAGATTGAGTCATAGAACGTAAAGATCCGATCATTAAACCAAAAGTTATTCAGGGCGGTCTGTTTATTTATTTTCATACGAAACATAAACTAAAAAATTCCTTTAAATAATCAGTAGTTTTTTTATACAAAACTTATTTCAGTAATCAAATTCCCACATCCGAGTTAGGTAAGATGTAAGATCCGTAGCAAGATCAAGCAATTTGCTCCGTAATGCATCTACTTCGCTCAAAAAAAATAAAAATACTAGTGCATACATTTTTCTACCACTAAAAAAATTTATAGTATTATCAATTTTTTTTAATTATCAATATACTTGGTTTCTGATAACAAACGTAAATTTTACGCTTATTCTTAAGGCCAAGCACAGATAAGTATAATATGTACCCCCCTTCATGCTCAACGGAATTTGAAAGTACTTATTTGATCTAGTATATATAACAGATCACAGCACAAAAAGTGCTAAGATTCATGCGCATTAGAATAGATTATTATTTGGACTTCAATGTGACTTAGGGTCTGTCCTTGTCAACGGACCTACTCCATCATCTCTATTGAGCCTGTGAACAACTATAATTCGTGGTATTAAATTATCTAATTTTGCTTTTGTAAATGAAAATTTTAATCTTAAAATTGTAGCGTCTAGAGAACCTACCTTTTACTCCATTTAAACTTGTTTACTCAGTTTGAACTGCAGTAGAAATTAAAATACCTCTATGCGTGCACATATAGTGTTACTATTTAACCGTAAAAGGGGGTTCCATAAAAGGTTTGTTATTTATCATTGAAATTGTGGTAAAATGAATAATTTTTTACTTCATTTTTTACACTTTAGAAATCTTAATTTTTTTTTTCCTTCAGTGGAACCTTAAATAATCGAGCTTCTTTTAGTGGAAGCCTAATTTTATTTAAAAACGTTAATTCGTAGATGTTAATATTTAACCAAAGAAAAAAATTTACTAATTGCAGAGAAAAAATTTAATTAATATTTACTTATTTTAAAAATATTTAGTGTTTCTTTTTCAATGCCCACCACATTTGGTAACATGTAGCCTCGTGCGGTACCAGAGATGCCAACTTGCTCCGGACAGCGAATAAATATTTTCAAGTGGTAGTTTATTAATTGTAATTCTTGGTTTAAAAAATTCAATTTAGTAGACTCTAAAGCCGTTACCGTTTTACCGTTATTTAAATTGTATTGGCGTGTCCGGAGCAGTTGGCATCTCTGCGGTACTTAACAGGAGGTACTGTTGCCCTCTTTATCGCTTTTCCCTTATAAGTGGGTTATTGTCCCTCTAATAGTACAAAAAGGACAAATAGAACAGAGAGAGGGAGAGTATTTAAATCCATGCCCGAGGTGGGATTCTAACCGGGAACTTTATAAGTCCTTGACCACTATGCCAGAAGGTCGACAAAATATTTAACAAAAAGGATTCTTTTTCATTGTTTTATCAATAATGGTTTAAAAATTTGTTATATGTCAGTCCAGAAAAGGCTCTTGTCCAGTTTTGAAACAAAATAGCTAGTTTGTTGTATTTACGCATAAGCTAGAAGCTGTATAAGTAAAATATTATACTTTTTGAAATAATACTGTTTATTAGCGTTGAGAATGTTTATCAGAGAGACGTAATTCTTTATTCTAGAATATGATTATTTCATTTCAAAATTCATAAAAAATAAACAAAATATTGAATTTGGAATCTTCAAAACTCATTGCTATTTAAAAAAGAACCCCTGTGGACGTTGTGATGGATTTGCAAAAGATGCTCCACTGAACCTTGAGGTTCCGTGAAGCATCTTTTGCAAATTGTTGCTCTAGACAGTGTAACTACAGTAAAAAAATTTTATCAATTGATACATTTAGTAAAAGTTTTATCATATTTTAGGTGACAAGAAAGCTTTCATGCCTCGATGTGAGAAAAACGGTGACTATGCTCCAATTCAGTGCAGGGATGGATGGTGCTGGTGCGCTGACAAAAATGGCAACATGTTGGGCAAGTCCCAAAAAGGAAAGCCAGACTGCAAGAAACACTAAATCACTTGAACAGTGTTTGATATCTGAATTGGCAATGAGAACGCATTAAAAAAAAATTTGAATTAAAACGTCTACCAGTATTTTTTTAAATTTTTCTTCTTATTATTAAAACTGGAAACATCAAATTATCTGAATAAAGCAAAGAACAATGCATAACATCTAAGTAAATCCTAACCACTCCGAAGTGCAGAAAAATATCTTCCAGTGGTAGCAACATTAAATTTTTTAGTCATAATTCTTACGGATTAATAAATGCGATTAATAGGGCTTTAACCCCTTCGCGTCGACTGTCACAAATACGTGCCAGCATAAAGCAGTATCAATCAGGGTAAAAAGATAAAACTGGTAACCAAAGTAGTTCTGTAGCAGTTAATTTGTGGGCGGGGTTATAATTGTTTGATTTATTTCATTCACCATAACTTAGTTCAAAATAAAAATATTTGGTTATACTTTGAACTAACATTTATTATATATATGATTAAATTAACAATAATTAAAGTCAACGCAAAGTAAGTGTGTCAAATTAGCAACGCCTACATTTAGGTTACCGTTTTTTATTTATTTACATCCAGATTCTGATTTTGTACGAATGCTTTTATGAAACACCCGTCCCCTAGGGTTAATTACCCGTCACCCATTCTTAATAATTTAATGGTTTATATGAAACACCTCTTTGCAAATATGCCAATTACTCTGAATTTAGTAAAATTTGCCAATTTTTTTAAAAACGCTGCCTAAACCGTAATATGGGTGCTACAGGCGACTAAAATCAAATAAAAAATTTAGAAATTCACTTCATTCTTATTTATTTATGACCTCTTTAATTACTCGATCGCAACTTCTACTACTAGGACTTACATTTTAAATTATTCATATTCAGAACAAATATATTAACTACATTCCCTTTTAATAGTAAACTGAAAAAAACATACTAGAAAAAGTTGCTAATTTTATTATCTATTAATAAAATTTGGAATTCGATCGGTCACCACTTTCCGCATTTTTAGTCACCCGTGACAACCCAGTCGTAACATAGTGGCGTATGCATACCTGCCAATTCTTCCACATTTTCCCGAAGATTTTATTTTCATATTTTAAGTGGTAGCAATAGGTTATTCCAATAAACTTTTTGAATTATAATGATAATTATAAATGAGTTTGACCACCACTACATATAAATTATTATAATAAATATATCAAAGCATAATAATCCTTACGAGAGCGAATTTCAACGGGATCAAAATATAAATGTAATTTTGAGTCAGATTGTTTTTCGTTTATTGTTTTTCAACCACTCTGAAAATCAATTCTCGGAAAGAGTGAAAGTTGGCAGGTATGCGTATGATCTAAGCCGTTGAATTACTGATAAGTAGTAGTAGTCGTAGTACCTTTTAAATCTAATTTACTGAACTAAGAATCATACATTAAAAGACTACCACTCAAATATATTTATTCGCTGTCCGGAGCAAGTTGGCATCTGTCTTTGTTACAGTCATTGATGGAAATAACTATAACAAAGGCTTTGAAAAAGTTGTTGGCTTTGAAAAAGTTACCGAAATTCCGAAAAATCAGTAAATTTTATAGTATTCTACCGGTTTCGAAAATATTTTGTAGAATACGGAGCAATTGGGTTCTCTAATGTCTTTCATATTATTTTGAGTACTACACATGCTATGCAACTCTCATTTACTCCGGGAATGCTTATAAATGTTGCACATTTGTTTTGTGATTTTTTTTATAACATAAAATCATTTCTTAACAAACCAAAATTGTTATCCTGACGAAATCAAACAGAACGAATTGTAGCTGACACAAAACCTCAAGTCAATGTAATATTTGTATTGAGAGTTAACGATTTAACTTACTTTTTATAAGAATCGGTGATAGCTCTTTATTGCATATAAATTTAGTACACTTACATCAAAATTTTGTATTTAAACTTTGAGGACAGTAAAGAACGGCTGCGTAAATACTTTTATTGGAAATCACTCACTATTTATTCATCGTAAAATTTAAGGCAAGAAACTGAAATAAAAAACGACAGGAAATCTTCGACATAGAATAATTCACTGCGTATAATTCATTTTTAGAATAATCGACTCTTAACTTTATTTTTCGAAAGGCTCCGTCTTTATATGAAATGATGCTTTTTTTTACGAATAATATAGTATTTTTATAACTGCTGTGAGTTTGCAACTGTATTTCAAAGGTCAAGTTTAGCCTATCTAGTGCCAGCACTGTCTATGCTTATTTTGAATATGGCGCAAAACGTCAATGTGGAGAAAAGCCACAGTTTTGTGAAAATGATAAGCTCTTGTGGTGTAATTTCTTCAATATTTAAAAGCTTACTTCTTTTAATCCTTTCGAGGATGATTTAGTAGTAGTAAAATGGAATTTAAATTGCAATTTTAGGCAGAAACATACGCTGTATTTTGAAGAAGCTTATACGGACTGCCACCATTGTATTACATATTAATATATATGCTTATTTTTTCAAAAATAGTGGTGGTCAAATAGATTATAAATTAAGCTTATAAATGCTAGAAATTTAAAAAAAGCATGCATTTTGCTACCACTTTAAATATAGAAATTTCGCTTCTCTGACTATCTCGAGTTTTTTTTTGGATTCGTGCATATTGCAATGCATTTGTAAAGGCATATGCTGCGGAAAATGGATGCTCAGATATCAGAAAACTTTCTTCGTTTTTTACGTCCTGGTATTTTGCAAACACTTCATTTAAGTGACAAAATAATTAGAGTTACTTCGTCGTGGTTTTTAATTTCGTTAAAATTATAGAAATACTTCATCATTCTATTCTACTTCCCCCCTCCCACCCACACACACATAAAAAATCGTAGTGCCTCATGTATCTAACTTTTCAAATAATCATTATGACGTAGGCACGCTATAGGTGCATACCTGCCAACTTTTAATCCCTTCCCTTATCATTTTTCCCAGTGGTATTAAAATGGAATTAAAACTCCAATTTTAAGCAAACAAATACATTGTATTAGAGAAAACTTAAGTTGACAACCAAGATAGTAACGGCAGACCTGCCAACTTTTAATCCCTTCCATTATCATTTTCCCCAGTGGTATTAAAATGGAATTAAATTTTCAATTTTAAGCAAAAAAGTGCGTTGTATTTGACAAAAATTAAGCTGACAGCCATGATAGTAACGCATATTAATATATGTGCTTAGTTTTTTTAAGAATAGTGGTGATCAAAATCATTTAAAAATTAAGTTTATAAAAGAAAAAATAGTATATATTTACTACCACTTTAAATATGAAAATAAAATCTTCTGGAAAATCTGGAAGAATTGGCAGGTTTGTAGGTGGCGTAACGCAACAAGAACACGTAGAGCAGAGAGAAAATTTATACCCATGCCCGGAGCGGGAATTGAATCCCACGTCTTCCCATTGCGAGGCAAACTCCTTTTTTTAATTTGTCACTTTATTTTCGATTGCCAAGTCTTTATTCTAATTTTGTTATTCCATTTAACACGTTCACGCCGGGAAAAGTGAAAATACTGGTAGAGGAACTATTTCAATACTAGATAATATTCGGGAGGAGTTAATCTATTCACTGTATGGAAATTTATCACTGCGAAGAAGCAATTCAATATAAAAATTGTCTCCGTTAAAAACAATTGGTAGTTATAGATTTTTATTATTCCCGGAAAAAACTAAAAAATGAAATTTATTGTTACCAGTCTTTACTCCGGTGCGCTGCCAAGATGAGACAATCTAGCGTGACCCACCGGTGGGTCACCCGTGCGTGAACGTGTTAACAATCCCCACAATGTAAGGCTCCTATACTATCAGAGCTGACCTATCAAGCAATATTGGAGCAAACAAGTTCGCAAGTTAACGTTATGTTAGTATTAGTTATGTTATTACAGAGATGCCAACTGCGCCGGACACGACAAAATAATTAAAAAAAGGTAAATAACTACAAAGTAAATTTTGCAAATAGTTGACAATATTTGCTTGCTTTTAAAAATGTAAATCATACAGAGACGCCAACTGCTCCGGACGAGAAAAAATAATTTTAAAAACGGTAAATAACTACAAGGTAAATTTTACAAGTATTTGACTATTTTTGCCAGCTTTTTAAAAGGTATAGCATGACATAAGTACCATAAAGTGGTGAATTATATGAGCCTAAGCATTGTTTAGAAATAGTGGCGCATTAAAATCTACTAAATCGAACTTATGAACCCCAAGAATTACAATTAATAAACTACCACTTGAAAAATATTTATTCGCTGTGCTTATGTTAGCTCTTTGCTCCAACAATAAATGATAAGTCGGTCTGTCTAATTCAGGGGCTCTACCACAATATACTAACTTGGGTAGACCCTTGCCGCCTGGCTAATCATAGGAGATTTTCTTGGTTTTCTTCTCCATATAACACAAATGCGGGTTAGTTCCATCAGAAAGTCCTCCATAATGGCTGAACTGTCCCAATGCTTGATTTAGTTGTTCCTTTGTTTTCTGGATTGGGTTCAAAATTACAAAACTACGAAGTTGAACGTTAGTAGTCGTGAACTGAAAAGTCGGTCGGCTGTTCAACGACGGTTATAAAAATAAAAAAAAATAAAAATAAAAAAATAAAAACTATCATAAAGGTTTGAGTTGGAAAAAAAATTTCATCTTATATGTGAGAGTTAGCGTTTCGTCGTATAGCTCGTGATTTCGTGACGAAGTGATTATCAAAATTAATGAAATGCTGCTGAAGGATTGCTTAATCGACATAAATGCGAGTTATATTTATAAGAGTGATGTGACATTTTGCAATACGTTGTAATGAAATATAAATAGCTTAGGTTATTTTATAGTTTTCAATTTCTACATTCTCTTAGGGTTTTGATAGCCAAAAAATTCTTTAATTTACATCGATTAAAATTTAAAAAATTATTCACATTTGTCTTATATTTGAAAGTTCGCGTTTCATCACAAATCTCGTGATTTCGTGACGAAATGATTCTCAAATATAACGAAATGTTGCTCAAGGATTCCTAAATCGATAAAAGTGAGAATTTCATTTCTAAGGGTGATGTGACATTTTGTAACACATTGTAATGGCACATAAATAGCTTATACTATTTTAAAGCTCTCAGTTTCTACATTTTTTCATGGTTTTGACCACCAAAAATTTTTTCAACTTACATCTATTTAAATTTTAAAAACTATTCACATTTTTAGTGAGTAGAGATTAGCGAGTAGAAATTTTAGTCTCAGTACCTTTTGAACCGAAATTTTGTGTCCTGATTTAGAAAGTATATGAGACAATAGTAGACATATAAGAATGACATTCCTACGTTAATATTAAAATATATTTTTCAAAACCAAATCGAAAAATTTGTGGCTCATCATTATTCCAAAACAAATATTCAAATGCAAATTTTATATCGCTTTCTACTAATTTCAATTTAAAAAAAGGAAAAAATTATAAGGAAAGATGGGTACAGTCTGCAAAAATTTTAAAAAATGGAGACAATGCGCTGTGAATTTATAGCAAATTTCATAGGCTTTAATTTCTTGTCAGTTTCAATAATTCAGTTGGTCATACATAACATATATATTCAATTTGCAGATATATTTAGTCAACAGTAATTAGTAAAAACATATTGTTCCTTCAATCCTTTTCTATTAGTTTTTCTGTTATGTAGTATCTCTGTGCGCCATTATCATGCAGTTCAACTTTTAGAAAAATGTTAATTCAATTTAATTAATAATGTTACAACTATATTAAAATGTTAATTTCAATTTAATTAATAACAAGTGAAAGAAACAAAAAAGTCTATTTTCAACAAGACAACTTTCCGCATTTTGAATTATAGAGAAAAATTATAGCAATTCCTGATTTCAAACGATATTTTTGTATTTTGTTTTAACGAATTAGACATCATCACCCCATTATGAGATTTTGTCTTATTTTTGAAAGAGAAAAATGAGAGAAAGTTAATTGTCTAATTCTCAACATTTTTTCTGCAAAATTAAAAGGTATGAGGCCACTATTGTATATTATAATTATAAATGCATATTATATTATAATTATAATATATGTATGTATATTATAATGATAAATATAATTATATTAAATATGATATCATTGGAAGGCAATTCATTTGAACAAAAAATGATAATTATAAAAAACACATATGAATAATTTTACGAATAATACCCTTTCTTTCTACCTTATATTATGTTAACGTCACCTTGACAAGCAAACGGTTATACACAAGACAATAACTATTGCCCAGAATAAAATCCCATTCACAAAAGACAACAGCTTGATTGGCAGCAATTCAGTTTTCTTTAACCTTAATTAAAGCAGAAATCATTTGTTGTTTTCCAACCACAAGAAAAATAATTTTCTCTCATTGTTGGAGCTGTTTAGAAAATGCCTTTTTAACATATAACCTTACCAGCATATTTTCTAGCTAGTAATTCATTCAATTAAATTAAACGACAATGTACAAAACACATCAGTAAAAGTAATGTAAAAATTTGATATATTAAATTATATTTTGTAAATATTGGTAGATTAATTTTATCAAAAATAATTCAAATGAGGTTTTAAATTCTTTGGTAAAACTCGCAAATATGGAAACCTAACGCTAATGAAAGCGGGCATAATTTGATTAATGGTTTCAGTTTAACGAAAACGTTTACAATGAATCCTAAATATCGTTAATCGAAATAACTTTACTTTCTAATTACTTTATCTGTTTCAATCTATCATCTTATAATCGACGCAAAACAAAATTTTATATAACANTGCCTTTTTATCATATCATAACCTTACCAGCATATTTTCTAGCTAGTAATTCATTCAGTTAAATTAAACGACAATATTAGGATCATATCAATAATAGTAAAGTAAAAATTTGATATATTAAATTATTTTTTGTAAATATTGGTAGATTAATTTTATCAAAAATAATTCGAATGAGGTTTTAAATTCTTTGGTAAAACTCGCAAATATGGAAACCTAACGCTGATGAAAGCGGGCATAATTTGATTAATGGTTTCAGTTTAACGAAAACGTTTACAATGAATCCTAAATATCGTTTATCGAAATAACTTTACTTTCTAATTACTTTATCTGTTTCAATCTATCATCTTATAATCGACGCAAAACAAAATTTTATATAACATTACCTCAGCAAATGTAATGTGAGTAAACATTAAGACACTAAACTGCATGACCATAAAAGCTCTCTAAGAGCAATGCTGTGTCATAATTGTTTCCTAAATATGTGATATTAGCAATAAAATCCACTTGTTCATATAAATCGATGTAGTTTTCTGAAGTATGATGCATTAAAAAAAATCAAGTAACGTCATGTAACTTAATTTTAGTATAATTGAAACTTAGAAGAACATAAAACTTATCTCTTTAATTTAATTTTTATTAGTTTTCGAACCTATATAATATTTGAAAAAGTGCTCTCTTTCACACTTTACTTTCTAATTTCAGAGACAAACGGCATCACATCTTTAGGTAAGTTAAAGAGCACTTTAAAATAGTTTAACCAATCTATTACTGTTCTGTTAAAAAACCTAAAAAAGCAAATTTTTAAATCGTGGCAATTTTGCAACACATTTTGATTTATAGTTTACAACGCTCCAATGCGGTAATAAATCCTTATGACATTACTGTTAGTTGATTCTCTGTTTTTGTCAAAGTTAAAGAGATTGTAAAATAATTTTATACATTTATGCAATTGGTATTATAGTACATTAATTCACGCAAAAAATTTCTTGTGGCGAAAAATTTTATTAAAATATGTGTGTAATTATCACCATAAGCTACGGAGCTACCATTATTTTAGAAAATATTTTTCCTTGTCCATTGCGATTCCTTGTCTTAATATTTATATAAAAAAAAGAATTAAAGGAATGCAAACCACCAAATAAAATTGTTTTTATTAGACTGTAATATAAATGTCGACGACGATGATGACGATCTGTAATTTGTAAAGTGCCTGACCGCGTTAGCTTTATTATGCCTTAGGACGATAAATGGAGGAGTTCAAGGCAATTGGCGGCTCGTTTTCAACCAAAGATTTTATATTCAAATTTAAAGTGGTAGCGAAACTCCATTCAACTTTTTGAATTATAGTAAAAATTACATCTGAGTTTGACCACGACTTATAAGTAATTACAACAAATATTTAGAAGAACATCAGTCTTTACCATAGCGAATTTCAACCCGGTCATTATATACATATATTTTTGAATAAGGCTGTTTTTATTTTATTTTTTCTGTAATTGTTTTACTACCACTTAGAAAATCCATTCTCTGAAAGAGTGAAAGTTCGCAGATGTGCGGTTATATAAAAATATTTAGAAACATACAAGGTTATATGCTAAATATTGATAACTAATTCAAATTAATAATTTCGGATAATAATAATTTCGAATAATAATAATTTCGAAATAATACTAATAATTCGGCTGCCCCGTGCGATTAAAACGGCAAAAAATGGTGACTAATAAAATTCGCAATTTTATTCATATTTTAAACTTTTAATTTCATTTTTTTTTTCCAATTAACTATTGAATGTGAATTCAAAGAATAATTTTGCTTTGAAGATGAATGATTTGAAATCATAATGGTAGTTACTATTGAATAATCAAAGAGATAAAAAAAATTTAAAAAAAAAGGAATTCAGTTTCTACCACTTTTTACGATTCTAGTTGCCTGTGGCATCCCTGTGAACGCTTTTGTTTCCGTTCATAACATTCGGAAAACATACTCACAAGTCTCAAATGTCGGACGGTAAGTCAACCTTTTACAGGGATTCACAAGCGACAAAAATTGTAAGAAATGGTAGAAACTCTATATTTTCTATTTATTCATTATCTCGTTCATTATTCAATCGTAACTACCACCAAATTTAAAATTACTCCTATTTGAAAAGAAAATATTTCATAAAATGCATTTCCAATAATAAAACAAATAAGAAGAACTAAAATTTGGCGGAAGACGGGGGCTAAAAATAAAATTTCAAAATTGTAAAACGCTCACAGCACATATTCATCAAGTGACGCTAAGAGAGCATGCAGGGATGCATAACCCCTTAACGGTTACAGTTAAATAAAAATCGCACTAAAAATAAAAATTTAAAGGTAGAAATTCCAACGCGGTTGTAAAAACCAAAACTAAAATAACTACACTAAATTTTCCTTGAGAACGATAAATAACAAAACTGAATTAAACCAGTTAATATAAATATAAAAAAACGATTCGGTGCAATTATGATGCAGCCACATCACACTTCCAATCTATATATTCAGATAAAAGTGTTTTGACAAATATTAGCAACAAGCAGGAAGGTTTTATTAGTAGCTACCCTAAATCAAAACTTGCGCCCACTATTTTTTTGTTATTAATTTGTATTATTGTCAGGGGAGCAACCCTTTCTTGAAGCTGCGTATAGCCGCGGGGGAGAAGGGTCCTCAAGTTTGGTGCCTCATGTCACAGTTGATTATGTAATCAGTCTCCTGCTTTACGTATCGTTCTAACTTTTGTATATAGTTGTAAATAGTCTTATTTTGTATTTAGCATGTCGACTTAACTTTTCGCTTTATGATTTTTCATTTATTATTCTTACGCGACTCTTTGTATATAGTTTTCAGTTTCTCCCATTCGGTGTTTAGAGCCTTGCGCTACTCTAAAATTCGGAGAAGCCGCGCCTAACTTATTATTCGGAATGTTCGCGAAAAGAACCTAAGACAAGAGAGACAGACAGAGGATTAGGAGACAAGATATAAAATACCTATTCATATAAAGAGGAGATACGAATTCATTCGGACGTTCTTGTTTAGCCTACGCCTCCTATAACTGAGAGCATCCACACGGTTTTTTGTAGGTAGTCCGATCAGACCACTATGAAGGTAAACCAATAAGTCATAAAAAAATTAAATATGAAATCTATTAAAAATTAGAAACTGGTAACAAATTTATGTCTAAAAAAGTTTTTAATTTTTGAATATAATTGGTTCGTTTTACTTACTTGTCAACCACTACAGATTCAATTCTCAAATATATATGATAAATTTCTCTCAAGTACTTTTAAAATAGAATTTAGGTTCATGCGCACAAGTGGTTCAATTTTTAAATAATCTGCGCAGACTACTTATAATAAACCGTGTGGAGGCTTTCTGATGTAAGAGGTGATGGTACAGCTCGTGGTATTCATGTTTGACCCGAAATGGTACTCAGTTTTGGATTTGGCACTCATGTTTGACCGATTACGAGCCAGACTCATGATATGCACGTTTGACATTAACACGTTCGCGCCGGGAAAAGTGAAAATACTGATACGGGGAAAGAGAAAATACTAGTAGAAGAATTATTTCAATATTAGATAATATTCGGGAGGAGTTAATCTATTCTCAACAATAACAATTCACTGCAAGGAAATTTATCAGGGCGAAGAAGCATTTCAATATAAAAATTGCATCTGTTAAAAACAATTGGTAGTTATGGATTTTTATTGTTCCCGGAAAAAAACTAAAAAATGAAATTTATTTCTTACCAGTTTTTACTTTGATGCGCCGCCAAGATGAGACAATCTAGTGTGACCCACCGGTGGGTCACCCCGGCATGAACGTGTTAAACTATACAACGAGTCCAACTCGTGATATTCAAATTTGACCTGAAAGTTTCATCACGAGTCAGACTCGTAAAAATAATGCAAGGGGTTAATATTTGAATCGGATTTTACTTATCATTTTATGCTTGTAACTGATGATACCGACTACTTCAATTTCGCGTTTTTCGTTTTCGTTACTCGTATCGACCCTTGTGGTGTAGCTTTTGGGACCTTCGAGATAATTTATGACGTCACTAAGTTTCCTCCTTTTAATTTTTTCATTTCATTTCGTTCTTATATTTAATTCCATTTCATATGTTTCAACTCATCACTCCGATGAATCAGTGAGTGGTGCCTTCGGCGGCAGACTCCGACATAGTGTATACTTTGTAAGCTTGCAAACATGCAACTAAAACTCGCTAAAGGAAGATTAGTATTACGTAAAGAATAAAAGTATTAAAGAAATATATTTTAGTTTTTATTAGAGTACTGAGTTTTTATTAGAATACTTCCTTTCCTAGATGCATAAACAATTATTTTCTTCTTTTAACAGAAAACTCAAGATGAGAATCTTTTTACTTCTACTTTTCGTCGCCATGCTTGGCACTGCAATTGGCGCCCAAATCACAGCCTGCAGACTTCAACGCAAATCAGCTAAAGGAGATGGTAAATTTATAGCAAATGCATTTTCCTCTATAGTCTTTGTAAATAGACTTCTCAAGGTTACGCGATTTCCCTACTCTCTACACTTTATCTAGTCAGTTGCCATGTTACGTTTTAGTAACATGGCAATTTGGTAATATTGGAAAATGATAGCAAGGGAGTAATGCAAGATTTACCTAAACTATGGTAACGGAGAGGGGAGGGAAGTGGAAAAATTGCATAACTTTTAAAAGATTTATAAATCTTTAAATGGCCGTGACCGAATACTATGTCTGGCCGAATTTCGAAGACAGTAATAACTGGAAGTGGAAAGGTTTCCATTTAGATATTTTAGTCTGCACGTGAAATCATTTTAGAATAATGTTTTATACTTTTTCATAGTCGGAATGGAATTGCAAAACTTTAACTTCAGTATTATACCCTATTTCAATTAGACAAGTTTAAGCCCGCTTAAGTCGCAAAGAAAGCTTAACTTTAAACCGAGAGAGCTTAAATCATTTTCCATTTACAGATATTAGAGCTAGCTTATCTAAAGTTTTTTTATGTGCGAGGGTATATTAAAATTGGGTTAGAGATTACAAGCTTTATTGTAAATTGTGGGCAAAAAAACATCACGTTTGCTCATTTATATATTGTTTTTTACATCATAAATATTTAAATCATAATCCATTTGCTTATGAACTTTTTAATATTTTTCTGGCCAAATAAATCATTTTAGGACCCCTAAGTATGTAGCAAAGCCTACATTTTTGTATCGGTCCAATTGTTTTTATGATTTATTCGTTTTCCATGCATAGCCTTCTGCTGTGCGATAGCCATCTTAGGAAAATAACGAGATTAAAAACTTGAGAATTTCCTTCACAAACTTTGCCACCACTTTAAGAAAGATCGCATCTTAAGCCTGCTAGTGAAAACAGGGTATTATCCATTTTCATTTCATAAAGGGCTTTGTCTCCTTTTCGCTTCTTTCACTAACCCTAAGGATTGCTAAATTATAATTATTTTTGCTTGCTTTTTGATGGTGAACAGTTTATGACATATTAAATTAAGAACTATTCAACTGGAGGATCCCAGAACGAATTTCATTTCATTTCATAGAATTTTAAAAGTTTTGTTTTATTTATGTATGTTCAAAAACACTTTTAAACTTTTGCTTATTTTAAAAAGTTTTATTCAACCACAATTATTAGAAACGGAGGTGACTCAGAGGCTAGACCGCTCGTTCCCCAATGAGATGAACCAAGTTTGAATCACATCGATCATTAAGTCGATACGAATTCCGCACACGGCTCGCACCGACCAAAATAATCCTGCCGTAAAATATCCTCAGTTGTAGATGGATCGTGAGTTAGAGCCCCCTTAGTGGCAGGCATGGGAGGTTTTCATTGTTTTCCTCTCCATGTAGTTACATAAAAAAGTTTTCCTCGAGCGCTAGTTTGTCCCAATGCTTGATCAAGAAGTTCCTTAGTCTTTTGGGTTGGGTTATAGAGTTTGGTTTTGGAGTTGAACATAGACAGTTATAAACTCAGAACAGTGTTGGCTGTTCAACGCGGGTTATAAAATATAATAGCACCTTCAAATGATAGAAAGTAGAGATTTTAGGATAAAGTTTATATCTAATTATTGTTCTTGGCTAACATTTCAACTTCCTTTACAATTTTCTTTTTATTTTTATGTCAATTTCTTTTTTAAAAAAAAAAACTTGTTAAATTCTTTTTTCCGAAGATATCGTTCAATAATAGTGAAATAATGTAATTCCCGATACTGTTTTACAGTTTTCTATTCTTTATTTTAAATGAATAAGTTTAATGTATGTATGTACAATGTGGATAAAAAGTAAACACCCTGGAAAAGTTTTGATCTAATGGTCGGTTTCTCATATCATATGTGATGGTTATCTTAGCATCAGCCCCGGTAGGGGCTCTAACTAATTCATCTGAGTGGAAATAAATAATAAAACGCCGAAGCGCAACTGAAAGGTGAAAGTTGGGGTTCAGTATCTTTTACTGAGAGAAAATTAAAATGAAGTAGTGAGATTGAACAAACAAGTTTAAGAGAGAGAAGAGGTTTTGTGGCAGACTGCCTCGCCTCCCTTCGAGGTATTACCCCCGAGCTTCTCAGGTGCACAGTAGCCACATAGCCTCAGAGATAAGGAGAAATACATAATAAATGCGCAAAGTTATTTACAAGTATTTACAGCTATTTACAAAATTTACGGGATATAGCTCCGTCGGATAGGAAAAAGGCGGTTGCCGGGCTATATTTTATGTTGTCTTTGATGAGCTCAAAATCAAAATTTTTTAAGTAATTGCACGTATGACAAGAGAGTGCATCTCTTAAGAAACTTGCACATAGTTCAGCTATGTGCTTATCTATTTTGTTGATTTTTAACTCTCGTCTTAGACCTTTCATTCTCATGGATCTGGGGGCTCCAGTGATATATATCTGAGGAATTTATTGGTCGGTTTCTATATATCAAATGTTTAAATATTAAGATGGAAAAGATTAAAAACTGGTAGCAAATAAATTTCATTTTAGCTTTTTTGCGGGAATAATAAAATATCCATAACTAACGAATTTTTTTAACTGATATGATTTATATATTAAATTGTTTCTTTCCCCCTAAAAAAATTAATAGCAATGAATTGTTTATTGTTTGGAATTGATTTACCCTCCCAATAATTATCTATCATTGAAATAGTTTTACTACCAGTGTTTTCTTACTTTTGACCTGTTTTCAGATCTGTTTGCAAAAATTTTGGAGATACAAATTTAGAGGTGCAAATATTATAAGCGAGAAGAATGCAGGCGCAAAAAATGTACCTAGTAGGCAAGCTTTTTGCAAATAAATGTATTCCACAAATTATTCTCAATTTTATAAATTTAAATGCGTGAATTTACATGTAGTGGGAAAGATCCCCTACAGAACAAACCAATGAGTCCAAATAAACTTGTGAAGCGCAAATCAAATTTATTTGGTACGCGCTTTCTTGAAGCATAATAAAACCTAAAACTAGTTCTTCAACATTGAAAATATGCGTTCTAAGCTTTGTTTAAAATTTACTGAAACACATGCTATTTTTAATTTGAAGTATTAAGCTACATAATTTACCCTAGTTTAGAATTTGGTAATTCTTTGATCGTATTCTCAATACCCTCTTTGTTTGATATATATAATTGATAATAATCATTGATATATATTCATTAATAACTTTTTGCTACGGTTTTTCTTTAACAATGTAGACTTCAAGCCAAGGTGTAATAAACAAGGAGACTACGCTCAAATTCAATGCCGATCTGGATTCTGCTGGTGTGCTAACAAACAAGGTGAAATGCTCACAAAATCCCAGAAAGGAAAACCAGATTGCTCCGGCAAACCATACTAAGAAAATCTTACTTTTCTGAAATTGTAATAAAGTTCTGTAGCTGAAAAGTAAATTATTGTTGCTTCTATTTATTTATTTTAACAAAACGTTGGTAGGATACGACAACANATGTAGCTAGGTTTGCGCGTTTTAAAATGGGTTCGTAACTTAAAATGTGTGTTTGAGAAAACTGCTATCTGAGCGTAAAAAAATAGACAATCTAAAAATGTGATTTTACGAAAATAGACATTGGTTGAAATTTTAAAAAATAGACATAGCTTGAAATGTGTTAAGGAAATAGACATAGCGTTTGATATAGCTTTTTAAATTATATGGGACATTTTGCAACTTTGCAGATTGCAAAAATTTTGGAGATACAAATTTAGAGGTGCAAAGATTGTAAGAAGAATGCAGGCGCAAAAAATTCACCTAGTAGGCAAGCTTTTTGCAAATAAATGTATTCCACAAATTATTCTAAATTTTATAAATTTAAATGCGTGAATTTACATGTTGTGAGAAAGCCCCAGTGAGTCCAAATAAACTCGATCAGTCCCCCAACCAGTAAGTTCAAATAAACTCGTGAAGCGCAAATCAAATTTATTTGGTACACGCTTTCTTGAAGCATAATAAAACCTAAAGCTAGTTCTTTAACATTGAAAATATGCGTTCTAAGCTTTGTTTAAAATTTACTGAAACACATGCTATTTTTAATTTCAAGTATTAAGCTACATAATTTACCCTAGTTTTGAATTTGGTAATTCCTTGATCGTATTCTCAATACCCTCTTTGTTTGATATATATAATTGATAATAATCATTGATTCATTCATTAATAACTTTTTGCCACTTTTTTTCTTTAACAATGTAGACTTCAAGCCAAGGTGTAATAAACAAGGAGACTACGCTCAAATTCAATGCCGATCTGGATTCTGCTGGTGTGCTAACAAACAAGGTGAAATGCTCACAAAATCCCAGAAAGGAAAACCAGATTGCTCCGGCAAACCATACTAAGAAAATCTTACTTTTCTGAAATTGTAATAAAGTTCTGTAGCTGAAAAGTAAATTATTGTTGCTTCTATTTATTTATTTTAACAAAACGTTGGTAGGATACGACAATAACCAACCAAGAAAACGTTGGTTTTTTTCCATATAAATGTAAACAATAACAATCTCGAGCTCTTGACCTTCTCTACTTCCAGTTACAAAGTATGCAGCTGCTTACTACAGCTTATTCTGTGAGGCGATATTTTTAAACCCATAATTTTGCTTCTAATAAAAGAAATAAATTATGCAATCTCTCAAATCTGCTGTATTTCGTAAGATATTCATGATATTAAGTAATTCTGGTGAATTTGAAGTGAACATTTGTATTAGTTATTTATAGATGTAATGTTAGAAAAGGGGACATGGTTGCTAGCTTTTCCAGCAGTCTCGATTTAGCATCTTTTTACTTGAATATTACTTTTTGTTCTAGTAGCAAGCAATGTACCATCATACCTTAGAGTTAGCCTATTGTTTCTATACCTTATTGTTAGCCTATTGATCATCTTATAAATTATCATTTAGGTTTAAATATCGAAGTTGGTATTCTGTTAATAAGGCACGAAATGTTTTATAACGATTATTGTCTCAAATGCCAATTCTGACATCTTGAAATGACAGGTCTTCAAATGACGATTCTTCTTTTAAACACAAATCAAATACACGCACACGAGAAATAACTGCTCAAGAGAGTCTCAAAACACAATGATCACGTTGTCAGCCCAATGACTTCAAAACAAACCAAAAAACAGTAGCCCGGAAGTATAGGCAATCAAGAGCTTGCAGCGCCACCTAGTGTAGATAACACCATCAATATAATATGGAAGAGGCTTCAAGTATAATAAATAGCTGTCAACTTGTTCGAAAGATTTTACTAAGTGCCCTAAAAATATTACTGAATTCTTGAATAATTACCACTAAATTATTGATTATCTCAATTATTCTTCAAAAGTTAGATTTATAATTAATAGCAATGGAAATAGAGTGAAAGCTCTCAGGAGCGACCACTATTAAAATGGAGGTTAATCGTTCTTAGAGGCCATAGATACAAAGGCCATAGATATCCCCTATATTAGTCCTTGTTAGGGGCATACATGGCATTCATATTAAATTAGGCCTACTTTTCATCTTAAAGCTCGATATATGGTGTTCATACACACAGGTGGATGCTGGCTGAATTCGACGCTGTAGCAAAAGGGTTTACCAAAGCATACATGGAAACGCTACTTTTAAAAAGTAACGAGTGAAATATTACAGATTTATTTATTAATTACCACTAGATTATTAATAAGATCAATTATAAGTTAGTTTTTTAATTAATGGAAATAGAAATTTAGTGAAACCTCTCAGGTGCAACAGCTATATGTTCCACAGCAAAATGGTCGGTAATGGAGGTTGGTCGTTCTCAGGGGATACATGTGAACGTTACTTTTAAAATGTAGCGAGTAAATAGTAAAAATTTTTAATTTTAAAATGTAACGAGTAAAAAGTACAAGTACAAAACGAAGAAAGTAACGGTTTAGAAGAACATTTCAAGGAAATCGAAAATTCAAAGCAGCATTTAATTTTAAAAATGTAAGAAAAAAATATAATTTTAATTTAAAATGTATTAAGTTTTAATTAAAACTTCAAAATGCAGGAAAATGTTATAAACTTCATTGAAATAGTGAAGGTTGAAAATGTGCAGAAACAAAACCAGAAATCAAAATTCGATGTTTGCATGCAAAATTATTAATCTTAAAACTAACAAATATTTCGAAATTTTATTTTCATCATCGAACTTTGCAGTAATAAAATAATTTGTGGATCAAATTTGATAAATACTTGAATTTTTGTTTAAAGAAATAAGTAAAAAAAATTTAAAAAATGTATTCATATGCATACTTAACTCCTTGAAAACCATTAAATTGAAAATTATATTTCGTCCTTTTAAAAGTTAAAAATAAAAGTTTTAATTTTAAACAGTGACGATTTTTTTAATTTGGGATATAGACTTTGCATTTAGAATTCACTCTTAATCAAAAATTGAACGCAAAATTTTTTTTCTTAAATTTATTCATAGGTTAATTAAATGTTTAGATGGTAAAATTCGAAAAGGAAGAAAAAAATATTTTTATTTAAAATAAAGGAAATAATAACTCTAGATTTATTAATGCATACAATATTTTAATGAATAATACAATATTTATTAAATGAAGCATAATTTTTATATTTTAAATCTTAAAAGCCAAAAAAATTTTATTTTGTGCAAAAAATGTTTGGTTTGGAACATCAAATAAATTTTTGAAATTATTTAGAAAAACACTCATATAGTTGCCAAATATATTAGTTGTTTAAACACTATTTCTTAAGGGGGGGGGGAAAACATGTGCCTCTTTCACACACAGATCCTAATTCATTGGACCATCAAGTTTGCCGCCTTCTCCAGAGGCAAATCTCGAATCAAAATATTTTATTTTCTATTTTTTAAAATGCAATATTTTCTATTTTTTAGGATACAAAATAAAGGATTATCTGAGAATGTAATCATTTTGTCTGTATAATAAACGTTTGTATTATAAATAATAAAAAATTTGCAACAGAAAGAACTATTACAATCCTCATTTTAATAATCTTGCATTTATGCGTAGATTCTAATTATTAAGTCATTACAAAATATTTATGTCATTCACTCTTGCATCAGATGAAACAAAAGTAAAGATCGCTTAACTGATTTAATGAATCGCAGTAAAATTTTAAAAGTTTTTCAAGCATAATATGGTTAGAAAAATTATGCTCAGAGGTTTTTTTTTTTTTTTTGTAAGGANGTAAGCGTCTCATACAACAACGCCCCCTATAGTTCGTTGCGATCGCGAATTTAGAAATAAATATCACTCATTCGTGGAAATTACACTAAAGCAAGCTGTTACATGAAAATGTAATCATTTTTCTCTAGCGACAAAACAATAAAAGCTGCTAACTATATGCATACTGATCAAATCTAATAAAATTTTCACGATATAATAAACTAATTAAAGAGCTCAATACAAATAATGACAACCGGTTATCAAAATTGCAAATAAAAAGAAATTAAATTGCCTTTTTTGGTTGATATGTTAATTATTAAATGAAACATCAGTGATTATAGAAGAAATATTAGTAATTGCGATGTTTATATAAAAGCATTAAAAAAAAGACTTTAGCTTACATTCAATTTTTTAAAAAAAAAAACATTAATGCTATTGTTTAAATTCAAAAAAATTAAACTGGCGAGTAAAATTTTGCAAATAACTATTGTTTTTACTATTTCTCAGTTTTTATTTCATTAAAAGGCATTTTTAAGGAAGATTTTGAAACAATTCAGAAAAAGTTAGCAATTTCCTCAACATTTTCGCTACAACTAGTTGTTTTTTTTTTTAATAAAAAAAAGTAACGAAAAATCAAGTAAGAGTACTAAATTTAAAAATTAACGAAGTGCAAGTAAAAGTAGGTACTTTTTACTTTTACGTTGGTAACTAGCAACGAAAGTAAAAGTTTTGCCATGCATGCTTAGGGGTTATCTTCATTGACTTCAAAATATTATCCATGATACATGAATTTTCGCAGGCAATTTTAATTTTACTCAGTGTTATTTTCTTGGTGCAGAAATGCAACTTGTGATGTCGTCAGGAAAATTATATCGATGAATAAAATTTTGTGATTTAGTGTCAATTAAAATGATCTTTATTGATAAAAATATTTGCAAAAACAAATACAACTGAATGATAAAACTATTTTAAGAATATAAACAATTGTGCTTTTTTGTTCAAGTTGGCTCTAATTTTATGTTATAAAAAGTCAGCTTAAAAATGAAAAGTTGTTTGAGATGTTTATTTTTTCTTTTAAATATTTTTTTTTTCCAATTTAGCTTTCAACTCGAAAAATGAATCAAGGATAACAGTGCTTTTTGACTGCAACATGAGGTTGTCGATCTCTTTTAGAGATCGTTAAAAGAAGTTCTTTAAATAAGAGTCACTCAAAAATATTTTGGATACATTTCAATCCACTTATTTGTTTTGCTAATATTTTTTGTTTAGATATTAGTTTGATTTTCCTTTTTCGCATTTGGAGCAAAGATTTTCCCAGTCACTAGGGGATGTTTCGACCGTCTCTCTTAAAGGTTTTCTTCAACACAACAATGTGTATGGAAAGAATTCCGTAACTCCCAAAACTGAACACAAATAGAAGAGGTCGCTTTACAGAGGTGGACTTTCCTGGAGGTTTCACTGTATATAATAATACTGAAATGTAAATTGAATAATTATTTTTTTACTAAACAGGGTCAAAGAATTATAAAAACAAATAAACGAAAGTTTTACTTTTACACTGGACAAACGCTTAATTTTTAATTTTGTGTCGTTGTTGTTGTGGCTTATCCTCCAAATGTCTGACGAAGTCAGACAAGGTCCATCAGACTGTTGACCCTAATATTTTTTGTCGCAGTATGGGTAACTGTGAACCCTTTGAAGCCAAATTTTTATTAACATATTTTTCATTATTTTGTATTAATTTAAGTAATGATGAGTAAAAAGTATTGCACTTAGCATTTTAATAGTTTATGGTTATGAAATATGACAGAAACACCGGTGTATTTTTCTGGTTAAAGGTAAAATCTTCCAAATACGGCTCATTTCAGACAATAATTTTTCAAATCTGCCCTCATTTGTAGTCAATTAGATAAAAGAAAAACAGTTATTCACTATGGAAATTTCATTAATTTTCAAAATCAATGGTTGATAATAAAATGAATGCAAAAAAAAAAAAATTCATGTCAAAATTTCAATTTTCATTTTTTGTTTTAGTGCAAATATAATTCCAATAATCTACCAGATTTCTTTAGTAGCTATTAGACTGCTTATCTTTAATTAAAAGCACCAAAATATATTTTTGGTCGTAATTAGAGCTTCAGATAAAATATATAAAAGGGACACCGGTGTCCTACATGAGTCAAAGGATTAACTGACCACACTGAGCAGCCTGCATGAGAATTCAATAAGAGCGGTATATGCTCTCGTTAAACTGTTCTACTATAAAATGCTCGCCTTTCGTATGTATTTCGTCTGGTTATAAAAGCGGGATAGCCATTTTTTATGTAGAGGATCAAAATTGTGATGGCATTTCTTTGAATCACGGATGCTTCCCAAAGCTTCACTCAGTGAGACCTAAATGTAGCAACTCGAGTGATGCATATAAATTAAAATAACAGCATAAATTCTTCAGTTAGTTTCTCATCGCTTGAGAAATATCCGCAAGTGATTGAAAACCTAACTAGCACGATTTTGAGGTTCAGTAGATTTTTTTCACTAAGATTTTTTTTCGTATGTGATTTTTTTACAAGCAATGAGAGATGTCCTTAACAAATGTTGTACACCACGATGTATGAAGCAGGATTACATGAGAGGAGTCTTCGTCGTAGAAATATCTTGCAGTTGAACCGCAGGTGCAATTGATTTTGCTCAAAAAATGATTCTGTTGGTGCAACTATTGTACTTTATGAAGCTCTTTAGTTGTCTTGCATACCATTTAATAAGGCTTCTCTGCTCTCAGATCTGGGATTATGTAGCGCGCATTGTGCAGTATTGATATTAGATTATCACTACTGAGGGACCATCCGATTACTCCTTACGCACATACGAATCTTTAGAAACGAACTACTTTCTTTTTAGTAGTATTACTTTATTTATATCCATGGATCCTCTAGACTCCATGTTTATGTCGCACTAGAACTGTACAATTGCCTATTAACAATGGTCTGCGAAACATTATTGAGTACAATGGAAATGCAATGGTTCTCATCAGGAGCCATTTTTGCTAGATGCGAAAACAAATCACGAACGCAAATTTGGAGATGCGATCGAGAATCTGATTGGCGAATTCTATGTGTGTAAATATATTTAGCCAATCAGGTTTTCACTCGCAACAACAAGCTCGCACGTTAGTTATCATCGAAACCAGTGTGAGTGGCCCCTAAAAATTAATGCAAAATATCAACAAAATTGATTGAGATATCTCGGTCACTTCTTCTCTGAAAATTGCTGTATTATCAGTGTTCTTTCAATTTATTATGATATAATTCTGTTTTACAAAACAACTGAGTAAACTTTTCCGGTTGAATCAGTTTTATAACGTCGTAAAGTTCGATTCCAAAAATAGAGATTGGTTCTTCGTCAGGAAACGCCTAAAAACTTCCTACGAAGAGGCGCTTGCGTAGGATGTTTTGCTCAAAAAACTGTTTATTGCGTTGAAACAGAAACCAGGTCGAGTTTCGTGTACTTTAGTTTGACATTCGAAACGGAAGTATAGAAAGTTTATCTGAGATGGCTGGGGAAAAAGCAATCGAAAATAATTCAACTTCCTGTAATATTTTCGATTTTAACAAAATGTCGAAAGTCAAAAAAGTTCTAGATGATGCGAGGGAGCAAAATAATCCTGAAATTGATTTGGTGGATAAAGGAATCACATCTTTTGAAGAACTACATGCCCTCCGTAAGAAATTCGTTTATTTATTTCAACATTTCCTAATTTGGTGTTTCTTATTATAAAACCGGTTGCGCAAAGAGGTGTGGTGACAGATTTGAATGCAGCACATGGGCTTTGTTTACATCTGTGAAATTAAATTGAATGATTAGTATATCATCTTTTTTAAAACAAAAGGCCGAAGAATCGATAAAATTAATTTTTGTAAAAAAATTAAACATCCTAAATCTTCCAATTTATTATATTATATTAGTCTAGATTATCAGTAACAAAAGATAATAATTAAGTTAGGTTCCTATTTTATAATATTTAATGCAAATTAATGACCATTACAAATACATAATATTTATGGTTAAAATTACAAGCAAATTTTTAATACAAAATCAAAGCTAAGCAACATTTTTAAAACAAATGGAAGTTTTTATTAGCAAAAATCAGGAAATTAAAATATTTGTTTATCTCAGTGATTTAATTTTTACATTAATCAATGGACAAATTGTATTACTTAATATATATATAAAGTATTAGATTGTTGCTATTAAATTTACAATATTTTTATTAATCTTTCAAATTTTAGTTATTTTTTTGCTTATTTAATTATACATAGTTATTCAAAAGTAGATTTCACAAGTATATTGTTAAAAAAGATTAAACGTTTTTGTGTACTGATACAATAATCAGATGCAGCGGGGAGATTTCCATATCATGTTCAGAATAATCACAGAGTCCTGTCAACTTTCGGGCAGTGGATTGCGAGAAAATAAAAAACTATTGTATACAAATCTACAATAAATAATAAGAGTTTCTATTTAAGATATCATCATTATCCTGTTCAATACCCTGAGATTTGAGTTAATATCTTCTAATAATATTACTTGGGGATTTCATAATTATCTATTAATGATCAAAATTTCCGGTCTTTGTATTTCTTATTTATTATTTTTTTAAATTTTTTTTAAAAAAGTCTTTTTGCCTAGTTTCAAATTTTTTGTACAATTTGTTTCTTAGTTAAATTGTTTTGAAATTTTTTAAATTCTCAGACTTTTTATTGTTTTTTAAATAAGCTTTAAACAGCTGTTAACATGACCTGATGAGCTAAATTTTATATCATTTTGTTCAATTTTTAATGGCTTTTTTTTTAATATATCTAACATAACTTATATAGGATCATGTTTTTTAATTTTATTTAATTTATTTTTACTAATACATTAATCATATAATTATAGGAATATAAGTGAGACTTTTTATTATTATTTTTTTTAACGAGAACTGTTCTTAAAATAACACATGTATTTTCACTGCATGATTTTGATTTGTTAAATTTTCAGTATAATTTTTTTTTTAAAATCTTTTTGCCACCATTGAAAAAGAAAGTCATATTGAAATTTAGTACAAAAATTGCCATAAGAAGAAATATATTTTTTTATGATAATTAAAAAATTTACTTTTTAATTTTTTTATATAAAGTTAATATTAATATTTTTTTTAAATAGTCGTGATTTTTTTAAAATTTACATTACTTCGAATTAAAGGAAGCAAATGTCTTTTATTTCTTTGTACTATTATAGATTAAAGAAACATGCTAAAAATAATGTGAGCAGTCTTCCCTGTGATATTTTTCTTTTTATCTATTTTATATTTATTTTAATATTTAACTATTTTAAAAATCTATAATATTTTTAATTTTATAAATGTTAAAATACATTTTAAATATTTATAATCCATTGTTTCAGTTGGATTGCAGAACATCACAAGGCTGACTCTTAGTCATAACAAAATTAAGGGTAAGAAATTATTTTATTTTTTGCTGTTGCGACTAAATCTAAAATGTTTATCCCATAACCTGTATTTTGATGTATTTTTTTAAATTAGTAAGAATTTTAATGAATACTACATTAAGATTAAAATTCTTTTTAGCTGTTTCACCACTTATTTCAAGTTTGCCAAATCTGGAATCTCTGAATCTCTTTAATAACCATATTGAGGTAATTATATTTGTTTCTTATTTATGTTATGTGTATTATAAAATGTAATTTTAAAGATACATTGACTATTTTTAATGTAATTTACACATTTTATATGTAAGCCGGTAATAAGTTAAAATTATAGGAAATCAATGTAATAGAAAATATATTTTTGATTTGAAGGAAATAAAACTGTGGCAAGGTAAAAACATGAATATTTATTAAAACTTAAATATTCCCAATACCAGATAACATTGCATTAAAATAGGAGTTAACTTTTTAAGTGTTTTAATGTCTACTATCCCTTAACTTATTGCATAATTGAAAATGTGGATAAACATTTAAAAATTAAAAAAAAGAAGAACCTACAATTGTGTGAAATATAGTATTTTATTAATTTTTTTACTTTTACAAATTTCTAAAAGTAAACAAACTAATTCTTCTCACTCTTACATAGTTTCTAATAAAATGCATTTTTCTGCAGTTTTTTTCTTCTTTTAATTGAGATTAATAAATGTCAGAATATCTTATCAATTTTAATTATTTATGCCTACATAAATATTCAAAAGATATTTCATTTTGTCAGAACTGTAATTTGAATTACCTTCACCTATTTTGTGTTAATTTTATTTAATAATTAACTGATTTCAATTATATTTATAATTTACCATAGGAAGTTCCTGCTACCATATCATCTTTATCAAAGTTAAAGTTATTAAATCTTGGGTATGTATTTTATGAAAAATATCAATATTATTTATTTGGTATAAAATTATTATTTTTTAACTAAATAAATTATTTATAAATCCACAATTAAGTATAACTGTCATCTCATCTTGTGATACACTCATCTTGTGATACAAAATGTGATACACTTTGATTTTAATGATACATTTTTTAAAATTGTTTTGTATATCATTTTTCAAATGTGTTATATCTCAAGATTGTTTTTATTTAAATATTCAAAAATTTATAATGTTTAATTTTTAAGTTTTAGGATTTGGTTTGGTTTTTTTAAGCTTTTATTACTGCTAATAGGGATATAAGATCTATTTAACTCATATTTAGGATTTAACTCTATTTTTCTTTGAGGAAAAATGAATTATAATTATTTTAGCATTACAAACTGTCTCAAAATTTAAGTGAAACATTTTAAGTAATATTCAGTGTGACGCACATTTTACGCAAGACATTACAGGGCTCTAATTTAAACATATATTAAAAATTTTAAATTTTAAAAATGATAGTTTTAATAAATATTAATGATCAAAATTTTCAAAGGAGAAGTAAAAACTTGATTGATTTTGTATATAATAGTTCCTCATTACTTCTTTTTAAGTTTAATGTAAATATTTTATTTTCATTAATAAAGCTAAATATTTGGGAATGGTAAATATCCTGTTGTTGAGCTGTCCAAAGGTAGATGGGACCTTCCTTAGTTAAATGTAAACTTACTTTTTTTAAGGATACCTTAATGCCTTAAGAAAGTGGCATTTGAATTTAGTGTTTTGGCTTAGTTTGAATAAAATTTGATAATAAAAAATATATGTAACGGAATTATGGTATAAGACAAATTAAGCATTTAATTCAATTAAAAAAATCTAATTGTCATAACTAACAATAACTAGAGTAATTTAATTCACTAATAATTTGGGTAATTAATTCAAAATAATGAATTATATTACTATACAGATAAAAAAGTTATAATAAAAGAATGATATTAATCATTTAGTTATTTCATCAGTTTTAATTATAATTTAAATAAAACATTTAGTGAGTGGAGAATTTTATTGATAGAATGTAATAAAAGTCAGAATTATTCTCTCGTTCCTTTTTTTATTGTTCATCCCATTACGTAGTTAATATTTTGGCTTTTATATACAATCATCGCACTTATTAAAAGTAACGGATTACTTACTGAAAATTATGTTTCATTATTTTTTCTGTTATAATGGCATAATTAATAGTGTTTAGTGTCTGGTGAGGTAAGTTTGAATATTGTTTTGATTTTTTAAAAAAATCTTATATTCTAGTTTATAAATCAAATAGGATTACATTTAATAATTTTTTAAATTGAATATTTATTATAAAAATGTCTAGACTTCTTTTATTTATTTTTTTACTGTTTTAAGAAATCTTTTTTTTTTAAGGCCTGACAAGCGCCCCAGCCACCATTTTCGGTTTCTCGATAAAGTTAATTTATCAGTTTAGCATATTGATTTTTTTATTATTACTTTGTTGGTATAGTACAAACAAGTTTCATTACATGAGGTGCACAATATTATTTATAAGTTTAGGAATATATAGCTGACTCTTATTCTTGTGCCACTAAATTTAATTTAAATAATTTTATTTTAAAAAAAAGTCAAGAAATTTAATAGATTTTTTTGCTAAAAAGTGCTATTTTTAAAAAGCTCTTGACTTAAAAATATTAATATTTTTAAATCGTGAGTTTTTTAAAATATTAATTAAATAATATAATAATTAATAGTTTTTTTTAAATATTGTTTATTAATGCATGAACAATATTTCAAAAAGCCTCATCTTTATGAAGTATTAATGAGGAATAGTTATAACACTAGTAGTCAGTTAAGCATAGGTCCATGTGTAAAAGATTAATTTATTATGTTTTTGATGAGTCTTCCTTTTTTTTTACGCATTTGTTGAAAACCTAAATTTATCGAAAGTAAGCAAAGCAGATTCCAACGATCTCAACTACTCTTCCAGATTTCAACCTCTGCTTTCATAATATATGGATTATATGTTGGGGATATATTGTGCTACATTGATATATAATATATCTATTTGCACTAATATATATATATCTAGTTTTGTATCTCTCTCTCTTTATTTTTTTTTTAAATGTTTATTGTTCCTAAATGGCAGTGTTTTCACTACAGCGCGAGAATCTCGCATATTTTTTTCTTTTCTCGCATTAAAAAATGATTACCGCGAGAAATTCGCGCACTCTATAAATCAATTTCAAAATTCACGAAATTCTCGCATTTTGGAAAAAGCTTCGAATTACGTCATTTAGAACAAAATCAGTTTCGCTTTTCTTCCTGGATCTTCGTTATTTTCAACACTTGCCCCGTTATCTAGCTTCCCTATTTACCAGTAGGTATTGTTCAGAACCTTTTCGAACAACAGAACACAACCCCTCCGAACCACGGAACCCCTTTCAGAACACATTTCTCTGCAACCATGTGTTTACTGTAGGTATGGATTTTCATATAAGACGTTCAAATTTTTTTATGCACTAATGTAAGATGGACAAATACCTAGTAAAGGCAAAATCTTCTATGATGATGCAGCAAAAATATTCAATGCTTTAAAAAATAGAAGACGTTAAAAATGTATTATAATAAAAGAAATGATTTTTTTTCCAAGTCTATTTNACTCGGTGATGTGGGAAAGTGCTGATTGTTTCGATTTGCGCCCGTTTCTTTTTGTTTTTTTTAACGCTAAAACTGTTTATAAAAAGTTTTTTTTTCCAATAATATCATTGATTGAATATGAATTTTTTGAGTGCTTGAAAACTTTTGTAAAGTGCTTGAAAAGTTTTTAAAAAGTGCTTATTTTTGATTCAAAGATTTGACTACGCTCCCTGATGTGACTTTCAATTAAAGTTTACAATTTTTTTTTCTTTCCAGAATGAATAGGTTGAGTACACTTCCTAGAGGATTTGGATCATTTCCCCAGTTGGAAGTCTTAGACTTGACTTATAACAACTTAAGTGAAAAGACTTTACCCACAAATTTCTTTATGATTGGTATGTTTGAAAGAAATTCTTTTTACATTCTAACTTTCGTTTCTACTTCCCTGTCTGTATTTGTGACAGGATTTTTTGTTATTTCAAAGTTATATATTTGTTTTATTATACAGAATTTATTTATAATTTGTTTGGTTTTTATAAAATTAATAAAGAATTTTGTTAAGTTATTTTTTTTCTAAGTAGATTTTACTTGAAATTTTTTTTTATTTCCTGTTCTTTATTATAAATTTATAAAATTGCAAATAATCATTTTTTGTTTATGAAGAATTATTTGTAAGCATTAGTGTTGGTATCCCACTTTGTCTATTAAAATAGTAGTAATCTTCATACCTTCCTAGGGGTTTCCCTTTTTAATATGTTCCATAACCTCCAGGTTCCTGTTTTTTCAGATTTAATTATCAATATCAAAATTAAAACATTCCTGCAACAGGCTGTTGGGGCTATAAGGGTCATGTAGATTAAGATTCAACAGGGTGCTTAGCATTTTTAAAAAGTGCTTAAAGGTGCTTTTTTTATTTGGGGTTTCTAAAAGATGCTTAATTTTCTATCTCTTAAAAAGATGTTTTTTCTTTGCTGTTTCGATTGTCATTCTAAATTACAAAAAATGCATGATTTTCACAATTTTCTCTGCAATATTTATCAGAAACTAGTTATTTTATCATGATTAAAACTAAACTAATTAAAACCAAGGGCTACTGTGCCCATCTCAGTTTTCTTGACCTTGGGTTCTGGGGTGCTGGAGCAAATGTTCCGGTTAGGTGGTCCATTAGGTGGAATCCCCAGTGTTTAGTTCCCAAGCATGATTGGTACTCATTTATCGACCCACTTTAGGTATGAAAGGTTGAGTCAACCTTGCCCAGCCCAAGGAACAAACCCAGGACCTGTAGCACGGGAGCACGAAGCGCTCGCTACCACTAAGCCACCGGGCATCATTTTATCATGATTATGTATTTTTTTGAAAATGCTTTTTTTTTTATTTATTTTTATTTTTTTATTATTATTTTTTAAGAAATTTAAACGATAGAAAAAAATTGTTTTTATTACTGGACACATTCTAGTTATGATTTTTTTGTTTTTTCTTTGGAAACTGATTAAAAATATTTTTTGAGTGCTAAAAAATACTTCAAAGGGGCTTTTTTTTAATTAAAAAATCTGGCTACACATCTTATTCAATTATTTCATGACCAACAGCATGATTGTGGTACATAATGTAGTTTACATTTAGATTCTTGTGCTATTTTAAGCTCTTCATTAAATTAAACTTTTAACACAATTAATAATAACAATGGGGAAAATTTTCAATATTTGATTTTAATTTTAGACAAGAAAGCATTTTGTTAAAATGTATCAATACCTCAACTATCCTTATACAAGACGTGACTTCATATAAATAGTTATTCATATTTCTAAAAGATCTTAGGCTGTATAACAAAGTTTAAATTCTGATTGCTCTATTGTCATATGAAATTGAGCAATAAGAGGAGGCTTTTTTAAAATTTTTATTCACTGCATTACTCACTAAATTGCAAAGATCTGATAACATTGGGGAACAATTTTTTGTTTTCTTTTTCCTTTGCATAAGGTTTTTGAATGGATCTTAGGAGATGTTCAAATCTGCAATCAGCTTCTTTGTACAAGTTTTTGTGATATTTAATAATATATTTATAACCAAGATTTTTTTAAATTAACTCAAATAAATACTAAATGCCCCCACTTCTCTGCTACGTTGGAAGTGGTAGGAAGAAGGGAATAGTACATTTCAGTTTATGACGTGATACATTAAGGTCATATTATTTTCTGTTCTAAGTGTTATTTTCAAAGGAGCAGAAGAGTATACTTGCAGGTATATGAACCTAAATTGTTCTTTGTACATTGTACATAAACTTGTACATTTAGACAGAAAATAATCTATTATGTGATATATATGCATATAATGGAACACCTGAGTCAGGTAAGATCAAGTATTTGCATAATTGCAACCAAAAAATTGTCCCTGCAATGTAATTCCTCTCTGAGGAGTTACAGATTTATATAAATAAAAATTACTGTTAGTAGATTTATATAAATAAAAATTAAAAGAGTTTATGAACCAGTTAATTAATTATTTTTTCATTTTGCTTTTTATTTTATATTTGGTTTAATTTATAAATATTTATTATCTAGAGCTTAATAACTAATTATTATAATTTTTCATCTTAAATTGGTTGCTCATGAATTACTCTTAACCTAATCTAATGAAAGAAATTCTGTTTAAAATGACACAAATTATGTTTAAATGACAATGTCTTTTATTACCTTTTATTGAAGTTTTTTGTAAATTTTTAAATACTGTACTATATTATTTTGTATTATTATCCATCAACTCACTAAATACTGCCAATCCATATACCATTTTAAAACTGTTTAACCATTAATTTTTCCAACAAGATTCAACATGATTTTCGAAAACAACTTTGATATAAATTAAAGAAACATTTCAACTAAAGCACTTCTACCTAATTCCAATTTACATAATCAGGGGTCTGTCCAGGCCGAATTTACTACCGCTTAGCGGTACCTTCACAAATTCAATTTTAGGTGACACGTTAGTTTCACAAATTCAATTTTAGGAAAAACGGTAGTTTCACAAAATACTTTTTCTTAAAATTTTATTTTTGTATCCCTTAAGAAACGATACATCTATATTTTTACCATGTTTTTGTATTGATTTTGTAATATAATTTTTAATTTTTTACAAATTATGTCTAAATTTTCACAAAATAGGTACCTTTCAGAAAAACCTAGACAGACCCCTGATAATTTATGGAATATTAGTAAATATGTATATTATAACACCTCTTAAACCTGGTTGCTATTGAAATTCATGCTATGATCATTAAAGTATTAATTGATTTCAGTTTATGTTATTTTAATTTGAGTTCAGTGTTGATTTTCTTCCTTTCAGAAACTCTCAGAGCTTTATATTTATGTGATAACGACATTGAGTATTTACCTCCTGAAATCGGCCAGCTGAAGAATTTACAAATTGTGAGTAAATTTTTTATTAACATGTTAAATTTTGCAATTCTGTATCACATATAGTTTTATTTAAGACTGATTAAATAGGAAAGGAATTTAAAACAAAAAAATATTTTACTTTTTTCATGGCTAAAATCTAAATATAGATATTTTTTGGATATCAATTTGTTATTACTGCTGAACTCAATTATGAATGTTAATGTATATATCAATGCATAGATTTCCTGAATTTAGCACCAGGAAACTAATGCCTCAAAATTCTTTTANAAAATCATATATTACCCCTAAAATTTACCTAAAATTTTTTGAAAAAAGTTCCTAAAATTACCCTAAAATTTTAAAAAACTTTGCTGCTACCCCTGCATATAGTTTTATTTAAGATTGATTAAATAAGAAAGGTATTTAAAACAAAAAAATATTTTACCTTTTTCATGGCTAAAATCTAAATATAGATATTTTTTGGATATCAATTTGTTATTACTGCTGAACTCAATTATGAATGTTAATGTATATATCAATGCATAGATTTCCTGAATTTAGCACCAGGAAACTAATGCCTCCAAATTCTTTTAAATACTCTATAATTTAATTAATTTTAATTTTTTTAAAATTACCCTGTTATAGTGAACCGGGAATATAGTGAACTCTTGGTTGTAGTGAACTATTTTAGTGGCTCCGTTCAAATTCTCATTTAGATAGTGTTATTTTAAACCAAGGTTAAAAAAAAAGCAGTCCTGAGTTATAATTTGCACTTAAACATTTCATGTGTATTTGACGCCCAATTTTTAAATTACCTTTGTTCCTCAATTCAACTCCTGGCCAAGCTATACGATGAGGGGGAAGTTACGAGCTTGATGCTCTGACCATTGGTGGGTGTCCAAACCGGAAGTTACGACATTGGAATGTGATATTTTTTTAACTGTGATTCATGATAATTGGTTTGATGATGATTTTTCTAGTAATTTTTTCTGCCTTTTTCACTTGATTTTTGAAATTAAGATGTTTTTAATTCAATGTTATTATGATGGCTGATTTCAAGTTATTAGTTTTTGACGTGTTCAATTCATCTTGATTTCATTGTAATTTCAAGTCTTGGATGATAGTTTTTGCAGTTGTTATGTATTTTTTTCAAAATCTGATGTTTTTTATACATTATTGTGACACTCAAATTTGAATTATAATTACCTGATCCGTTGGACTTTTAAAAATTCGATTCCGTCATAATTCCACATAATTTTTCAATCGTTTTTTCACACTAATTTCTTATTTTAGTAATCACTTTTTCACCCACGTGATTCATGTTAGTTGCATAGTAAATCCACATTAATTTCTTATTGCTTTCTCGGCTGTTGCTTTTTGTTTTTCCAGACATTTCGACATTTTTATAATCCAGATATTTTTAATGCATTATTATTACGACACGTAAGATCTTTAAATTAGAATATTACGCTCATTCAAAAAAAAAAAAATAATAATAATAATAATATGATTTATAGAATGCGCAAATTAAACTGAGGAACTATTTCTAATTGAAAAAAAGATATCTTTTTAATGATAAATTGAAAACTTTGTATATTTTGGGTTTCTTAAAAACTAAGCAAAATTTTAGGAAATACAATCCCCTTTTTTGGTGGCATATAGTGCTGTTTTCAGTTTTTAGGGCTCCTATAGTGCTCTTTTCAGTTTTCTCTTTGACTTTTGTTTATTATCTATTTTATTTGGTAATAATCTTTAATCAAATTACATATTAACACAATCACTATTTTCAATAATATAACTGTAATATACTAAAAAATATTTTTTAAAGAATTTAGTTTTAGTAAACCATTGTTAATATTGCTGGTTGCACAAACGGTTCACTGTAGCATGGTTTGGCTGTAGTTTTTAAAGATTTTTTCCCTTCACAATATAATCTTGTTATTCTAACACCATATACGGCTATGGTTGTTCTTAAGTAAACTGCTGTTTGTAGAAAATGCAACACCATGAAAGAATCATCAGAATCAAATGAAATTTAATGCAGAAACGACTTGTACTGATACAAATAAATGATGANTAATAATCTTTAATCAAATTACATATTAACACAATCACTATTTTCAATAATATAACTGTAATATACTAAAAAATATTTTTTAAAGTAACCATAGTAAACCATTGTTAATATTGCTGGTTGCACAAACGGTTCACTATAGCAAGGTTTGGCTGTAGTTTTTAAAGATTTTTTCCCTTCAATATAGTCTTGTTATTCTAACACCGTATACGGCTATGGTTGTTCTTAAGTATTTACTGTCATTAGAACTTTCTATCGTTTGTTTTTTTCCTATTATTTTTTATAATTTCTGTTTCTGTTCTTTGATATATCTTTTTTACTTACTAAACTTAAACTATAAATTAATTTTGAATTTTTTGATGAAAGATAAATTTTTAATGCAATTGCATATTTTTATATTGAATTCTCAGAGAAAATCTGAAATGAGAGCTTATAATTTATGAAAGCTTATACTTAAGATGGGACACCAGTGTGCCTTTAACATATATTTTTTCTAATGTACTAATTGCAAGTAAAAATATATTTTGGTATTTTTTAACTTCGAAAAACATCTTATAGTTACTTAAAAAAAACTGTTAGATTATTTGAATTAAGTTTGTACTAAAATATTAAATCTTAAAAAATGGTTGAAAAAAAAACTTTTTTTCATTCATATTCAAAACTTTATCATTAGTCATCTTAATTAAAAGATCAGCTTCAAAAATGTAGCAATATTAGAAAGATTTTTATCCCATTTTTTAAAATTATATCTTGCACATTTCTTTATAAATAGCTTATATATTTATGCATTGCAATTTTTATTGGAATAAATTAATGGTTTTTATTCTTCAGTTGGGACTTAGAGAGAATGATTTACTTAGTCTTCCTAAAGAAATAGGGGAGCTTTCCCGATTAAGAGAACTTCACATTCAAGGCAATCGACTTTCATTTTTACCTCCTGAGCTTGGTAAGATATACAATACTATATTTTTATACATATCTCACTAATTTCATTTTTAGATAAATCAAGGTATTGTTAGCTTGAAGACTAATGATTTGTCATAAGAATATTCTGATACTATTAAAAAAATTATTATTTTAGTACTATGTTTTCACAAATCGTACCTTTTTCTTTTTTTTGTAATATGGGTTGACGTTGACATATTGCACAAGTTATACCCAAGTTTTAGTTTTAATACTAATAAGATAATTGTTTCAGTCATTCTTTATAAAATCTTTACTTTTGTACTGAAGAGATGATGCAATCCCCTTGTATATTATTGGTTTTGTAAACGTTTCCAGGTAATAAATTTCTAGGAAAAAAATAATATAAGTTATTAAAATTAGTAACATGATATTAATGCTTGATTTCTCAAAATTATCCAACCCCTTGAGTTAAATGCTCCTCAATTTTGTGACAATCGCATGGTTGTGGTAATGGGGTCAGCATTGCTCACAAATTGTTGTTGCTTCAAAAACAGGGTGATACCTATTGATCTAAAGCTGGTGGGGCTTCAAGCCGCTACTGAGAATCAAACCCTAGTCATTCAAACTGACAACTCAATACTTTTAATCAGCTTAGTCATTGTGGCACAAAATTTATCAATGGTGATCCATGGATGCATTTGAATATTTTGTAGTTATATATATGTGTGTATCACAATAAATAAAAAGGACAAAAATAAAAAAAGAAGAATAAAATTAGGAAAAACTATCTATATATATATATGTTGCATACGCCATGCAGTGCCATCTGCACTAAAGCAGACTCCCTAAGCACTCACTCATGGGACTGCAACGGGGAGACAGCTCCAAAAGATGTTTCAGCTCTAATTATTTCGTATTGTCTTTTAAGTGTTTTTTTATAATAAAAGCTTTAAATGCAACCCTAGGCTGCTTTGAAGCTTATCATCGACACTCCCCGTCCGTAACATATATTGGAAATTTGGAATTACTGCAAAAATATTTATCTTAAGCAAAGTTAATAGTTACAAAATGGTGAATAATCAAATTGACTGATCCCATAGTAAAAAAAAACTGTGTAAACCAGTAGAAGCAAAAGGCTACTAGGATTTTTTTAAATTTTATTTTACATTTACTCATTTTTTGATGACATTATCGATGTGATTCTATGCATACTCATGAGAGAATTTATATTGTTTGGGAGAATTTTTTTTTTTTATAATAAAAAACCATTTAGAGATATTGATTTGGATCATACTTTTTGTGATTTGCTATACTTTGAGTATCAGCTAGTTTCAAAATAAATATTAATGATATAGTTAGCGAGAGAATGAAAATATTTTTATTACATATTTCAAAATATGCTGAATTTTTTCTTCAATTCAGTATTTTTGATACTGATTGGGTCACATATCTGTTAATACTTTTATTTCATATTATGTCTGGGTAACATGGAAACAGAATCACGCTCAGTTATTCTGCTCCAATTATATTTTCTTAGTTACTGCGTAGTGAATTAATGTTAATATGTTTTATTTTTTTTATCTACAGGAAATCTAGATCTTCTTGGGCAACATTGTGTTGTTAGAATGGACAATAATCCATGGGTTCCACCCATTGCCGATCAATTACAACTGGGAATAACACACGTGATTGAATATATTCGCACTGATACATATAAATAGTAAGTACATTTTCTAGAGCACTTGAGATCATAAAAATATTATTTTGTCTTTTCTTATGAAGTAGTCCTTCCATTAACTTTGGCCCTTACCCTATATGATCCTTTGTTATGGGTTTGTCTATCTGTGTTGTTTCTTGCATTGCTTCTTCCGTAGTCGTTATAGTCTGCATAGGTCTGTCTAGGTTTTTCTTTGAGGAACCTATTTTGTGAAAATTTAAACATAATTTGAAAAATAAAAAATTATTTTAAAAAATAAACACAAAAATGTGGTAAAAATATGTTTATCGTTTCTTACAGGATGCAAAAATAAAATTTTAAGAAAAATTATTTTGTGAAACTATCGTTTTTCCTAAGGTTGAATTTGTGAAGGTACCGCTAAACGGTAGTAAATTTGACCTGGACAGACCCCATGTCTGACATAACTAAGTTCGTAGACCAAAAATAGCATTTATTGTATAAAATAGACAGCACACTTGCCACTAAATTAAAACATAATAATTGTACTTCTGCATTTACAGTGATTTAAATCTCAGCATCATAGTTATTTAAACTCTGGAACCAGGGTTGGGTTTTTGACCTGACAAGGGTATAATACTGGTTTAAACCGTCAAAAACTGAAGTTTGCCAAGAAAATATATAAACTTCAAAACTACCAACAGTTGCCATGCATTATATTGAAATTTAATTATACTATAGGTAATCAGCAGGTTTTAAAATATTTTTTAATTAAAATTAAGGTAAAATAACAGATTTAAAATCTCAGAAATTTATATTCAAATGCATGTGCAGAAAAATTTTGCACAAAAATTGTTTAAATATTTATATTTTGAAAAAAAAAATTCTTTTTGATACTTAAGAAAATTAAAAGTTTATTACTATGCCTTTTTAACATATAAGGAACATATAACTAACATTTATAAGGAACAAGTTATGTTGTATAAATACAAATTTGATACAAGTGTATAAAAAGAATTTTTTTATGTTCCGAATATCTTTATTATCCAGTATGTTAATTTGAATTTAAAAGTAGTTATATTTGTGAATAATGATAAATATAATTCATATTGTTTATTATATTTATTTATAATTATTACACTTATCATTTTAAAACAATTTTTANTAAAGACGTATACTTTTGATAATCAATCTAAAAAAGAATTTTTTAAGTTTAAATCTTAAGTATTTGGATAAACTAAATTTTCAGCATAGTAAATGAATAGGCTGAATATACTGTAACGCTAACTACTCTGTGTATTTAACAGAAAGCACTTAAATTTGTATTGTCTTATGTTAAAAAGATTATTAAGAAGATTTAAAAGAATATTAAAAAGATTTTACTTTAAACGATGTTAATGTACAAAACTGCTAATGTTTATCTTTAAAAATGTCTAATTTTTAGTATAATCTATACTATACACTAAATTTGCTTATAAATAAATTTCTTAACAATATCACTGCAGATTTTCAATAACACATGAAAATGAATACATAATATTACAAAAGATGTGAGCTTTCCAAAGTACAAGATTTTGGTTAGTATTCAAAATATAAGTGTTTCTTCAAAATTTTAAATTTATTTTTCTAGAACATATTTAGAAACACTATCCTTTATAAAAATATATATAAATTTTATGTATTAATTAAATTTCACATATGAATATAGGTTTTTGACATTATCGACATTTTTGACAGTGAGGTTTTTGACGTGGCGGTTTAAACCGTCAAAAACTGTCACATGTCAAAAACCTGCCAACCCTGTCTGGAACAAACCCACGGTCGTCTTTCTGCCTGGCTGATCTTTTTCCATTGAACAGGTTTTTATAGATTTGAAGATGTTGCCATCTTAGAATTATAACTTTCAAAGAGCATTTGATTTTCAGTTAATTTGCATAACAAATAAAATATTTTCTACAGTCTTTAGTGGGACTACTAAACCAAATGTTTTGATCATATTATATATTGTTTATCAGTTTTCTTATGCTAATTCCAAATTAAGTACTGTAATTTATTGTGTCTTCTTAGCTTATACAGTCGTCAAAAACCGGCACTTTCTCCTCCTCCAAAAAGAAATGACAAATCCAAAAAAATCAGTCTAAAAAAAGATTAAGATGACTGACTGCGCCATAACCAACATTTGAAAAATGTTCAGCAACTGCCAGAAAGTTTTGTATATATTTTCCTGTTCTTATATTGCTTGTTAACAAAAGTCATTTATTATATTATAAGGGACAGTAAATAAAAGTGGCAAATATTTTAGTTTGGGTTTTTCTATATCCTTAACCCTTTAATGCAGAATTTGTATTCAATATATTTTTCACACTTTTTTCATTATTTTGTATTCACTTAGGTCAAAATAAGTGAAAAATATTACATCTAGCATTTTAATAATTTGCGGTTATGAAATACTGCAGTACATAAAGTACTTGTGTCTTTTGCTGGGTTAAAGATAAAATCTTCCAATCATCATTCAAATTTTCTTTAATTTACAAAATCAATTATTGTTAAATTTTTGAATATGAATAAGAACATTTTTTTATACAAACTATGTTTTTTTTTAAATTTTATATTTAGTATAATTATAATTCTATAATCTAACAGTTTTTTTTTTAGTAGTTTCTCAGTGAAGACTAGTCTGAATAATGTCTAGATATTTTTCCTGCTCCCATACCTTGAAAAGTTTTTAACATTTAAAAATTTTAAAGCAAGAAAAAAAACTCACAAGATCTTTGGGCGGTTTAAGCTTTATCTTTCAAGGGTTAGGCTTCGGTTTATGTTACAAGAGACAATTTGAAACAAACAGTTTTGATTGATGAAGTAATTGTAAAAAATCATTTTGAATATTTTTATTTATTAAAATTAGATTTAGTTTGTGTAAGTACTCAGTGATTTCACTCATGCACTTTAACAAATTAAATATGCTAAAATTATATAATTTTTTATGTAAAAAAAGTATTTTTTCTTCGTTTGTTATTAATAATTAAAGAAAAATATAAAAATAATTCTGTGTGTCAAATTACGCTGTTATTCCATGAGGCTGATGTTTCATAATTAAAACCCTTAATGGTACAAATATAATTTTTGTTGTTGAATTTCCTTGTTTGGGTTTTAAATATATAAAATAATTATAAATTTGAATAGAGAGTGAATAGAGATAGTTATCGATTCATATTTTAATTAGAGACTCAAATTTTTTGAAAAAGTAAAGACCCAGAAATATAGATTTCTTGGATCCTAAGGACATGTAGTCTAGTTGAATCACTGGTACTGTTACTAAAAGTGCCACTGTTATTTATTGTTACCCTATGCAAAGTTGTATTGTTTAGCTTGATATTTTCTAGGTTTGCATTTAAACTTGTTTTATTTTTAAGCAGATAAAAACTAATGTTGCTTTTGTTGAGAAAGTTGTATTTACATAAATGTACTCATTTGAGAGTTCGATTTTTTACCATCTGATGAAATCATTCATTGACAATGAATTAAAAATCCCATTTACTTATATTTTACATTGATTCACTCATTATTTTAGTTTTTTACTTGTTATTATGTGGAAAACTTGTACAAACAATCTAAATATTACACGCAAATGCAATAAAGTAAAATGAACTATCTTGTTGCTTTTTAGATGACTATGCATTACTTATTTTGCTGCTTTATAATTTGATGTGCTTACCAGCTGAATATTTTCAAAATATATTTTTAAAAAGTTTTTATTTTTTTTAAATTAATTATTTTTATTTTATAGATTTTTAATTTATTTTTTATGAACAGAAGATAAACAATTTATCATTTGGAGTTTAATTGTTTTCCACTAAATGCAGGCAAAGTTTGGCAACTGTATATTTTGTGGTTTAGATTATTTTTGTTTTAATTTTTTAGTGTGTTTCAATTAGCCAATTCAAGTATGGTTGTGAAGACAGTAGTAATATATGTTCTTGAAATTTTGTGTCTAGTAAAATGTTTAGTTTTTCATTTATAAATTTGTTTATTTATTAACACCTTTTACATTGTTTTGCCTATACTTTTATTTAGTAAGTAATTATTCGAATTTTTTTTTCTAATATGTTTATATAAACTCTTGAATTTCATTTAATATTAACCTTGTAATGTTACTGTTGAACTTTAATTTGTTATGCAATGCAATTTTTCAAATGTAGTTCACCGTAACTACAAATGTGCTCTTGATATATGAAATGCTGATCCCCTATGAATTATTTTAAAGTTAGTCTGTTTTTTTTTAAAGCTAACTTAAGAAGTTTTCTTAGTCTGTTTTCTTTCTTTAAATTTTTTATGAAATTAAATTTACCATGCTGTTTTTTTTTCATAATAAATATTTATTTTAGCCAAAATAATTTCTTGATTTTTTTTTGTTATTACAAAAAAGCATTTATATTTTTTTCAACACTTTTTATTTAACTTATGTAATGTTCATTTGTTTATTCTACATTTCACACTTTTTTTTGTTGAAATTAGTGAATTATAAGACTGTGTTGTCATTGCAGGAATTCATAATCAAAATTATTTTACTTAAAGCTAAAAAAACATGAAAATGAGAATGTGAAAAAAACTAAGAGGTGTGTGAAAAGAATGAGAACTAATGTTGAACAAGATAGTTAACAAGACGTGTTTTCAGCTTTTTACTTTTTTTTTCTTGTTTTAACTTGTTTGTAATTATTCCTACATCTTTTCATTTTTTAAAAATTTTTTTATTCTGTACTTGGATAGTTAAAATGTTGTTTCAAAGTATCAAAAAATTGTATTTGTGTAACTTTTCTTTATCTGAATATTTTAATACCTTAAACATTTTTTTTATTAAATAAATATAGATAAAGAAAATTTTGATTGAATATATTGACAGCATTTTTTTCTTAAGTTGTTACTTTTCAGAATAGTTTAGAACTAGTTAAATCATTTGAATATTTTACCGATACATAACATATTTTGCAAAAGTTTTTGTAATGGAATATTTTTATGGCTGCTATTTTTCAAATTTAAAAATAAGACTTGCGAAACTGTCTGCCTAAGACAAAGCACAATTTTTTATTATGACAGACATATTTATAAAGAAAAATGTCATATAATATTTATTTAAATAATTTTTATATGCTTTCGCTGCTGATTGTATATTATGAATCAAGCATAAAAAATCTATTGCTAATTATTTTATTATATGCTGAAAACTATAGAATATTTATCTGTTGCAGATGCTTTTAACTCTTTATTTACATTATTATATTTTTAAATCTGCTGAATATTTTTGTATTTTAGATGTTTTAAACCAGTTTTGTATGCATGGATTTAAGGTATCTAAAAACTGTTTTCAACTGGTGCTGTTTAAACTTGAAATATTTTTATAAAAATTTTGCGTTGTCTAACACATTTAAATCTGAAATAATCAAAATATTTATAGATGAAAAAAATATATTAATAAAATTTTTATTTTGAAATACCAGCAATTAAATTTTAAATAAAGTATTTTATCTTCTTTGTGTGCTCATTTTTTTTCCAAAGTTTTTCTTAACTTGTTATAAACAAAATAGTTTATTAAAAAAATAATTTAACACATTTTTCTTAAAATTGTTTTGTTATATTTTTTAAATGTTTATCGGAATATAAAGCTTTTAAGGCTGTCTTAAATTGTGTCTAAAATCAGTGACCATCTAAATAAAGGAATAAAAATCTGCAATTATGCTAAATTTATACTGATTATTAAAAGAGAAAATGATAAATTTTAGACAAAATCTTTGGATAAAACTTCTGAATTTCTATTAAATAATCTAACACATTATCTATTGAACTATCGATGACTGGCTAAATTAGCTGCTTCTGTAACTCATGAATTCAAGACCACAAACATTGTATTATGAAAAGTGCCTTCATGAACAAAACTGGTTGCACGCTAATGTTTAAACTAAGCAGATGTGTTGCCAATTTACGGGGTCACTAGCGGGTGACCGACTGGTTTAAAAATTAAAATCTCTGAAATAAAGGAGTGAAACGGTAAGTCTATTATGATAGCTGTAAAATTTTATTCTGAAATTTTGGGATTTAGTTATATAGGGTACCGACAGGTGGCGCTGTAACTCATCGGTGAGCTGAGCGATCAGTTTTAATGTTAAAGCGTCAAAGAAGTTAGTCGTACAATATTTTTTATGATTTAAAACTCATGCCTGTCAACGGTTTTCCAAGTGAGTTTTACCATTTAAGTGATTGCAAAAATCATTCTTTAATTTTGGCACTATTGCATGTAATAATTAAAAATTATATATATTTCAGGTTTAATAATCATTTGACGTATCTTTTCTATGCTGATAAAATTTAAAGTTAAATTTCAATTATTACTGTAATCATAATTTCGCTTACTTTGGGGTAAAACGTTCTTAAAAAAGAGCATTTTTCTGCTTAAATTATGAATGTAATGAAACATTTTTAAGGAAAAAAGAATCTTTTGTTGCTCTGCTTTGTTATACCCATTTTATTTTATTTCAATTTTTTATATTGAAAGAATAAAAAAAACGTGCCTTTTTGAAAGAAGTATTTTGCTCATGCTTTAACCATGTGAGCCTCTTCATTTTACTATAAAAGAAGCAACAGCTTCATATGGTTTGAGGTTTAATAATACCTATATTTTGCAAAATGTTATATAAGTTAAATGTTATTATTTTTTTTTCCCTTTTTAAGTGCTAAGAATTAGAAATTTGTTCTATTACTTAACTTTTTCATGAAGGAGGGAAAAATCTATCATCTTATATTGACTTAATTAAGTTGAATATACATGCACCAATGAATGATTCTTCAAAATGATCTAGATCTTTGTAATTAAGTTATTATACAGTTCATATTCAAGCAACATAATTTGTTAAATGACATGAAATCGTCCCATCATTCCATTCAAATGTGTTCATATATAAGACTTCAATTTTTCCTTTTAAGGAGTATTTTAAGTTTAATAAATTTATTTTATTGATTATATTATTAAGGGGACCGGAAAGTAGTGTCGTTTCAATGCATTTGTTACCAAGATTATTTTTAATCAATAATGCATTTACCCTCATAAGCCTTTTCCTGCTATGTTCGTTAGCCTACCATTCAATGCCAGGCTGAGGAAAAAATTTTTTTTTAAGACTAATGAATATCAAATACACTGAAACGACATTATTTTCCGGCCCTCCTAATATAACATATTTTGTATTTATTCTCCAATTAGAACAATATATATCTAGGGTTCTCATCTCTTCAAAGCTGATAAGGACATTCTTTCCCCCCTCAAATTAAACAAAACTCTTCCCTTCACAGCAAACACAAAATATATCGGATTATTTTTATTTAATCAACTATCATCTTTTAATTATATTTGAACACAAAATGTAAATTTTCCGATTATTTTTTTGTCCGAGCGGGTCATGCAGTGTGCGTGCCAGCATGAAACATTTTTAATCAGAGGGTAGGAGAAATAAAACTGGTTTCTAAATTATTTCTTTCAGCAGTTCATTTGTGGGGGAGGAAATAAATTCTTTTAAT